AGCAGTTACATTTTAGATATTTTAGATAGAGAAAGCTAATGGAAGTTGTCCTGAGATACTTTAAGTCATTCCAGCTTGTAAGCCTAAGGCTTTTGGTATTACTATATGAGAGAGCTCACCTTGAATTGTTTCTCCAGTCTGGTTTTTCCTGTCGGTCCAGGTATCAAGAGAGCATTAACATAGGCATGAATGTGAGTCTCAAGCACTTCTGTTTCTTTACCCAGTATGGCTTCAACCAACGCATCGTGAATGAAGATGTATTGCTCCTAGGAAAATAAAAACAAACATCCGAGCTGTAGTTATTTTCAGATTTCCTGGACACCCCTGGCTGAGCTGCCACTTCTGACGTGGTCAGTTTTTCCTCACAGCTGCGGCTGCAGGGGAGTTTTCTCAAAAGTGACCCTCTACAGTGAAGGCTGTCCCTCCGCAGTGACAGTACACGTTTACAAGCATGGTTGAACTACACATGCAATGTATATATGATATAATACCAAATCCCTACCGTTGGTGATATCTCGTGTTCACGGGGCAGAGTTAAAAATGCAAGCATAGCCTTGAACTCAAACGTTCAAGTCAGCTTGTTACACGACTCTCCCTGCCTTTCTAAACAATAAAGTGATTGCTCCCAGTTCCTACTGCTATCCTCTATTTTCTCTCTCACATCCTTTGGAACAAGTGCTCATGCTGTTGTTGCTTACCGTTTTTTCTATTGAAAGACACTGGGGAATCTAAACACCCGTTCTTGAAACCTGAAATAGACTTTCAAATGCCCTGCTGCTGTCCTTATTGTTTTATTCTCTCTTTCACTATTCTATATACAACCCTCAGTTTAAAGCAGCTATAGATAATCTTCTGTCTGAAACAGCTTTTTTTCCTACTTTTTATTGTCTGCTATCAACTGTTTGACCAGATTCAGTGAAGATCTGAACACCTGACAATGGTGCTTCCTTAAAAAAATCTATGAGAAAAAATGCATGCCTTGCCAAGAAAGTGCTGCTGTGGGAAGCATGATTTATACAGACTTTCTGTCTCCTGAGACCTCTCTAATATACAGACAAGAGCCCACAGATAGGCGATTTCTACTGCATCACCCTAAGCGAGCCTAGAAGGATGTCTCTATAAAGGGAAAGTCCAGTCCAGTGATGGGTTGCCAGTCTGTCTGGTGGTGTGAAGAAGCAGACTGTACCATCTCTTCTCCTGCAAACAGAAAGAGTCTGTAACAGTCTCTCACTATATAGATTTTATTCTTACCTCAGTCTGCACCAAGTAGTTCCTTTGGGTACGTATGTGTTTTAAGAATCCAAATATGTTGACTGTCCCCTCATGCTGAATTTGCTGCAGCATGCTGTCTAACACTATGTATGTGCCTGTCCTTCCAACACCAGCACTACAAAACAAAAAACCAGTCTTGAGCCTGAAGTAAAACAACAATGACAAGAACTGTTTCTGTACATAGCTTGTAGGGAAGATTTTCCTCTACAAATCCTTTTATCATGTGATACACTTTGCTAAAACTTCAAGGCTGGTAATAATGAAAAATCTTTTCAACACATCTTTTCCTTTATGCAAGAATAGATCAATAGGTCATTTTCTCAAACAATTTTTAAATTAACAATTGAAACAGAACTAAGGGGTTTCCTGCAGGTCTGCAATTTCCAGACTTCGTATATTCCTTAGGATATTTTGTCGAGTATTCCTAGAAAGGGTGGTACATGTCAGTATCTGAGCACAGTTAATGTGCTCAGCTGTCTATGTTGAAACACACAGTACTTTAAAAGGAAAGTTGCATTATGCTACCCTTTACAGATACAGGAGCTTTAAAGATACCAGACTGAGGAAAGCACCTGGAAGTGGCAGAGCTGCTGAAGGTACATCTGTAAAAGAAAAAGCTTAGTGCTCTGCAGCTAAGACAGCAAGCAGTATTTGAAACCCTCCTTAAAAAGGGAAGATGCCGAAGAAAGGATTAATCAACTCATTCCTGTTTTGAACTCTGACTCATTTAGCATAAAGGCAGCTGTATCGTAAGATTAAAACCCAACTTCTTATTTGATAAAATATCTGGGTAGGGAGTACAAAGTCAAGAGGTCATTTTTTGTTATCTAGTCATACATGGGAATTAATCAGTTTTAATTCCCCTCTAAGTTATGAGGAAATGTTACGTGTATTGGCACAAGTAACCTGACAGTAAGACTGTGCTGGGTCTGCATGGTTCCAGATCGAAGCGGATCCAAGCATGACACACAGATCCAGGCTCAGTCTGTACATGCTAATTCAGTCATCTCGTTTCTTCCACAGAGGTGGCAGAAAGCAAAGGTAGTGTGAGCTTGGACTGCTGTAATGAACTTTATAAATAAACGTGATATAAAATCGAAAGGTCCAGGTTATTAACACACTATTAGACACAAAAAAAAATTAGAAAGATTACCAGACACCATCTATACTTGTTATGTAAAATAAAACATGAAAAATACCAAAACATAAGAAGAGCTAAAAAAAGTTTCATGAAGTTTGTAATCCGTGGCCCCCGTACAGCCTGTAAATATAAGTAAAAGTTACATTTCTAACATGAGTGGACTCCTTTGAAATTCCATAGTGCATGGTGACAGGTGAACTAAAAGCTGACTGAAACTACCCACAGACAGGAGTGAGTTATACCCATGACCCAATGGAGAGGTCTGACTGAAGCCACACAACTTACCACTGTTCACTTCTAAAAAACTCAATTTAATTGACTTAAAATATATTGCTGATCTCTCAGCATGCTGGCATAGATCTCAGACTTGGCATTTTGGGGAAACTCTCATTTTGAACTTCCCAAGAACAGGCAGGATGTAGAGAGCAGCAGAACAACCAAAATGTGGAATTTTCATTTTCCAAGCTAAAAACAGATTTCAGTCAGATTAGATCATCCCAGAAATAAAATATCTTCATTTGCAGCATTTGTGAGGCGACTTTACCTGTTGGCTTCCTCAGAGTCAGCTCCAGAAGGACAGATTTCATGAGGAGGTTCTCTTTCCAAATGTTCCATCAAAGGTGAGGTACTACAGTGGAAAACCAGAACCTGCTTATATATTTTACAATAACCCGGTCCTTCATGGGCATTGTGAAGTCATTCCAGGCCCTACAAGCCCTTTTTAACCAATTCTCCCTGAGCTGCCCAGTTTTAGTGAGCGCTGACAGAACACCTGCCTGCACACTGCGGCACATGCAGACCTCAAACCGTTCCCCAGAATGCTCCTCCATTGCAAATGACTGCTAGAGCGTAGAGTAATGTTAAAAACAGCAGAGTTGTAGTTCAGCCAGGAATAGAGTGAGTCTTCTTTTGTGGACAGAGCTCCTCTTAGGATTACAGAGTATCCCTGCACCAAAGAAAGCATGAGCCAAAACCATCCTAACAGTATATATGCAGAAATGAAACAATTACTGCTATATATGTATCTGGGAAGCTCATAGCAATCAAGAGAGTAGCATAGAAATGTGCAAAAAAAATAAAAAGAAAAGCATTTTTGCCAAAAAAAAGAAAAAGAACACAGTGCAGAGCAGCAGCACCTTGTTTACAGAGTTTTATAGAAGTGGCACTGACAGTTGATTAGTCGGCCTTGCCAAGGATAGAAATATCAGCTAAGAAATTAATCTTATTCCATAAGGAATTGTTAAATGTGAGTGAAATTTTGCTTAACCCACCACTGAAAAATTCTTTTTTTCTGCAAAACAAAAGCAGAGTGAACCTTATGGCGGTAAAAACCACACCTGCAATGAACCACAACGGGCCCGACAGCGTGGCGCTTGGCGTGCGATGCCTTCCGCACGAAGGTGAGAACGGGCAGCGTGTATTCTGGAACACCCATGTCAGGCCACTGGGTATAATGGTACTGAGTTACTATACGTCCACTAGACCTCCCTTTCTGGGAACCCTGCAACAGAAAAGAAATCCAGTAGGTAAGCAGCCCTCATTGGAATGGCAACTCTTCTCAATTTCATTTCCATACCTGATGGTTCTTGCATTAGTACTGTTGCTATTTAGTTAAAAGCATGCCACCTAGCTATAAATATTCCAGCTTTCAAAGAGAAGAGGAAGGGCCAGTGCTTCTGTCCCATCAGCTTGCCCACTGAATGGAAATATGTCCTGGCACTGTCCCTTAGAAAGGCATAGAGAAAGGCTAAGAGCACTGGAGGGATAACAAATTACAGCTGCTCTGTCCCGATTACAATAAAACAAGGTGTGGATTCACCTGTTTGGCAGGGGGTTAAAAATTCCAACCTTAAAAAGGAAAACTGAGAGCTGAGGTGGATGACTTAATTCGTACCACGTGTTCTACTACCTGCTCTCTTTCTGAAAATGTATCCTCCTGCTCACCAGGCAGGCAAAGTCCACATCAGCTCTCCAGTGTGATCACAGCCTTTCCCCTGACGGTCCTACATCACACCAGTGCTACAGGCCAATTTCTTCTCAATTCATTGGTCTGGTCAAATTAACTCTGAAGCTAATGAACATCTTGGCTGGCTGAGACCTTCAGGATTCAGCTTTACCTATACAATAGAAAAGAGCTGCCAACTGCCTTAAAAAATATTCTGAGCAAATTTTAACACTCCCTTTTGCACAAACCATGTTTTCAGGATGCCACAAACCTTTTTGATCTTGGTGTTTCTAAGAGTAAAATTCCTCACAGTGTAATAGGCAAGTACATGAACACTCTTCTGGGTAACCAAGAAGTTCCCATATTCTTCACTACCTTCAGCAGGCCAGTACTGGTCACATTTCCTCTGTTAGAAAGCAAAGAAAAATAGGGAAAAAGAGAAGAAAAGAAAACATCAAGCTAGTCAGCTGAAATGTTCAAATGCTCTCGCACACTCAACCACAAAAACATACAGGGACTCTCAATATACCCAGTTTATAACAGACAAGATCTTCAACGCAAGAGAATAAATAATGTGCATTTATTTTGTGCTGTGAAGAGCACAAAGATGCTCTTTACTTGGAATAGTGAAAAAAAAAAGAGGTTTAAATCATGCTATCAGAGCTACATCACTCAAATAGTATAGAACTGGCCATTCTGTAGGCACTCTAAAATCTAAAGAACATAACATATAGTCTATAGGAATAACAGGAATACATTCAAGTCAGTAGGGTCGTGTGTGGTTCATAGCATGGGTAGAGTATACTTATACCTGACCCACAAGGGTAAGGGTGAGCTTTTCTGTTGCCAGAATATACAACAGAGAGCCATGCAGCCTTTTCTAAGAGTATTAGAAGAGTACATGTTTACAGCATGGCCCTTGTCTGCATATGCTGTGTCTGCATCTTCTGATAGATGCTTAATAGGACATAAGACTGACATGCATTTTAGGCAATGCTGCCAGTATGTGGCAAGTGTGATGCACTATCTCCTCATGTGACCCCAGTGTACATTCATACTCCTGTCACACAGTCAGAGGAACACACCGCGGGTGATGGGGTTGGACCTCATTTTGTCTCACTGGACAAACATGTATCCAGTCATGTGGCAGGAAAGGAACAGTGGATCCCACAGGACGTTAACAGGGGGCCACCAGAGTATCCAGAAAAATTGACCTAAACTACAGCCTTCTCCTTTCCAGGGTCACAGGCAACCCTGAGAAAGAGAATGATGGAGAACAGAATGCTAGCTGAATTAGGTCACTCCTAAATATATACAGATTTTGTTTTCAGCATAAGACAATCTTTTGTAGTTAGACCATGGTATTTTCAAGAGTTCAGTTGCTGACAATTGAGTTTAAATGTTCTCTTTAGTTTCATAGTACAAATTGTCATCTTTATACTTCTACAGCCAATCACAGCACAAGCAACTACTACAAACTGTTGCTTTTTGCTCAATAAAGGCCTAAAAAAGATTTTAGAGAGAGAGAAAGGAGCCTACTAGAGGTAGATCTGTCAACATCAGAGAAATAAATAACAGACAAAGGTACTCATACCCTTCCTTTCTCAACGAGATTGGTTATCATCACAATAACTTCTACGTTATGTTCCCATATCATTCTCCAGAAATCTTCCGCTGTCGATTTTAGTGGCCCTTGAGCTGCAATGTAGGCTTTTGGCTTGTTGTAGCCCTAAATTGAAATATAACAAATGACACTTGTCAAATCACAGTCCACAAGCTAAAGGAGGTTGGGAGGAGTACATGGTATTTTATGTATCTATTTTTACAGAATCTCGAAAGCTTTTAAGTACTTCTGAACTTATAACTATCCGAATAGCAGAAACCCTGCAGTAGCAGGTGACACATGAATGCAACTGTTATGTCAATGTTTATCATTCCAACAAATCGGATATATGTTCAAGTGCCCATGTTCCAGCAGAATGTTGACATGATAGTGATTATCAGACATCTGTTACGATAGTGGTTTAAAAACTGAATCAAGATCTTTTGCATGCAAATTACTGGGTAATGACAACCGATCAAATGGTACCTCAGTGAGGCTTTCAGCCAAATGGCATCTTCCTCTCATGAGATTATCTCAGACAGCAGAATTAACCACTTACCAAAAGTGTAAAAATGAACAAACATTCAGATACTAAATGTTTCTGAAACAACTCAGATGGGACAGAACGTTTTTTGTTTCATAAAGCTCTTCATTAAATACAGCTGCTACAATATCAAGGTAGATTAAAGAAAGAATTGGAGTGTTACCTATGCTTTAACTTTGCAGGCTTAACTTAACTTTGTAGGCTTAACTTAGATGATTAAAGGTTTTCTTAACAAAGTCTCTAATATTGTGCTACTTTTTGTATTTATTAACTCTATTCACCCCCATACTTCAGTATTTACAGAAAAGGCTGACGAATAGGCTGGCAGGTAGAAGAAGGCACTTACATCAACATAGTTGGCATTAATGTAATCAGTCAGTTTTCCATCTTTTTCTGCAAGCTGTGCTAATTTAACCCTAGTATGATCATCTGTAGTAAAACAAGGGAGAAAATAAGCATAGTTTTCTGCAATAATTATAACCTTTCTATAAGAAATTTTTTTTAAAAATACTGAAATGAATTTTTACAGTACATAGGACTAATACAGTGACAATCACATATGCAAAGATTCTGTGCTTAAGTATGAATCCGATTCAGAATTCTGGTTTGTAGAGAAATAAACTAACAGATCCAAGGATTCAAGGGTTCGGAATTTAGTTGCCTAAACAGAAGCACCAGGGGCCATTTTAGGCACTGTGATACATTCCCCTACAGCCTCCAGATGCTGCTCGTGAAGGGCATGGGTCTTCTGTAAGTCCTGTGTCGTGACTGCCAAGCCTGCACAATGTCCTGGCCGCCCTGGGATGTCTCAAAAGACAGTAGGTACTGGTCTTTAGGCACAGTCATTCCAAGTTAAAGAGATCAGAGCCTGGAGCTCGAAAAGCAATGGGACCTTGGAGGAGCTGGTCAGCTGAAGAGCTTGAGCAGCGTCTGCCTCGGGGAGAGCTGAAGCTTTCTGTAGCCTGCACTGGTTGTATGGACTAGAGACTTGACTCAGTTGCACAGGGCAATTCTTGCTACTTGAGCTGCCCTAAGGTGCTTGAGCACTGCCCTGTGACAACAAAGCCCCTGGGTTGGTACCTTTTGTATGAATAGGTATCAACACAGAATGGCAGAGGAAAATCCCTCACTTTCCTTCCCTCTAGAGGTATCTTCAGCCAGGTGGAATAGGATTTTCTTGCTGCTGGTTTACACTGTCTTCTGCCAGATGGGCTCATTCTGTCTCTTTTTCTATAAATCTCTAGTGATGCTGAATGCCGAACATTTAGAGCTTCTTGTTATCAGAACAAAGCTGAAATACTATAGAGAGTTAAGAAAAATGTATTAAGCCACCAAAATGATCAACAGCCCAGAGGCAATAGCTTCAAAGAGAGATTAACAAAACTGAATAGATGTGTTTCAGAAAAGAAAAATCTGGCATAGAAAAGAAGGGTAATGCAATGGGAAAACATCTGTCCCAGTTAATGAAGCTGATCTATTACATTGTGGCAGGGCACAATACAACATAAACCCAGTACATTTATGTTTATATATGATAGTAAATACATCCAGGGATTGTGAAGCTCCTAGAGAGGATAAATCATCATTATTCCAGATCAAAGATGGATTAATTTTGGCAATCAAAACACAATTTCTTCGGCTTTATAATGGCATTATAATGAAATCTCCCAACTCCCTTGGGTCATCACAGAAGACACAAATATGTCTTGCTAACACACGCTCATCAAAGCAGCAGAATGCCAGAGGACTAACTCAAAGAGATGTAAAATCTCATGCTACTCCTTCTCAAGCATTTTGCTGAACAGCATCCAGAGCTTTCAGTGAAGAAGTACTTTTTTTTTCTCTAATAACATACAAATCTACACTTGTCTACATTTCTTAAACAAAACACCAAGTGATGCATTTACTTACAAGCAACAATGTTTATGTATCGGTTCTTATTCTTGTTGTCGGGGTGATTAGAGCTGTCTGATGTAATACCTAGATCTACAGTACAGCTCTGGATTTCCTGGGGAGAAAAAAAAAAAAAGTACATCGTACTTTAGTAAGTATTAAGAAACATAAGATGTCTTAAAATACAGCAAGTCAGCACAAAAAGAACCGCAACCTTATACCCAATTATCTATGATATTTTAAAACTACTTCATTGCTAAAAAAAATGCAGTGAAATAATTCCTTACCTGATAAAACTCTTTCAGTGTCTAATGAGGGAATGAATGCAAAAAAAGTAAAAAAAAATCAAATTCCACAGCACAGAACAAATGGATAAAAGTGTTTATATAAATTACGATTACTACATGGAAACAGTTATGGTCATGCAATATACATCATAATAATAACAAAGCTGAATATTTTGACATAACTCTTCAAGGAAACAAGAAGTAACTTTCCTGGTAAAATACTGACAACTGTTTTCCTACCTTTAGCTTTAATGTTAGACCTTAGGCTGGTGAAAGCTTATACAGATGAGCAACACTGCTGACCTGACCCCCATTATCTGTATATTTAACTGTTTGTAGGATATGTTACTGGTCCTTATAACTGCATTACTTTCTGCGTGGAATGCTTTTGCTTTCTTTGCATGCAGCTGTAAAGCCCTCACTGGAGCCAGGCAGCGTGCCACTCAGCCAGCCCCATGGCACTGGTGAACGGCAGCATTACAGCCCTCAGGCTGCCAGCAGTTTCTCAATGAATCCAGTATGTTTTATAAAGAGATAGACAGGCCTAGGACAGACAGTCGCAAAGTCTATAAAACTCATAAAAATTTCTCTTATTTTACTGGTAAACTGACAGGAAACTCAGGCATTTCTAACGTCTGCATTGTTAAGTAGGAAATATGCTGTCATGACTAAAAGTACTATAATAATGTTTGCCAACACTTTTTAGGATTTATTTTAATATTAACTGCCTTCAACTTCAGCTATTTAGGTATATATATGAAAAGTGGTTACCAGTCTGAAAGCTAGATTTTAAATATAAGTTGTTTCATAATAATATAAATAAAAAACCTGAACCATCCCTGTACTCTCCTATCCAAATGTATGTTGACATTCCAAAGACAATGACTGTATTTCCATTTTTCCATGTCTTTTCTTTACCGATAGAGAAAAGACTGGGAAACTAATTCTGAGGCAGTCTGTAAAGCCAAAAATGATCTCCAAGAAATGATAGGACACTTGAGTTTTTTGTAACAGTTAAAACAAGCATGAAGTATTTCAGATGATGTAGGTGCAGCCTAGTGAGATGCAGCATATTTGGTCTTTGGATCACTGCGTTAATTTAGGAAAAGAACAATTTAGGATGAACAATTTGTTTTCTGTGTTGCTGTCCTCACTAATGGTGAAAGAACTTTGTTACCATTGTATTTACACAGAGTCCTGCTCTTATTAACAGCCAGTCTAGTGGGAGAGCCCAGTCCTGCCAGTGCGTATGCACATGTGTAACATACGAATATGTACTGGGCATTCACAAGTATTTACAAGTTGGGTCCTACAATCATATGGATATCTGAACGTTAAATGCATTGAAGAAATGCTGATGAGTAAGGTTAGGTGAATGAGATGGAATTTTTAGCCCAGTAGATCACAATACAATGGCTGGGCAAATAAAACAAAACCAAAAGATGCAAAACTATGAATTTCTTTACTTTCAGTATCATTTTTGCTGCAGGAATATTACAATCATATTTTAAATTAATAGACATCAGTTAGAAATCTTGTTTCCATCCCAACTCACTGATCTTGGTAGAAATCACTTTTTTGGGATTGTATTGTTTATTTCATGTGACTCAAGTTAGCACATATCTATCTTTAAATTGCTTATAATGCATATGAATGTGAAAAACAATGAAGTTTATTGGTTACTAGATATTGTGACAGTAAATTATACGAGAGCATATGTTTCAAAGTTTTAAAATACCTCTTATGAACCATATATTTTAGGAAAGGAACTGTAAAGCTTTCACTACCACATATGAAGGCTACTTTAGCTCCCTTGTTAATCAGAAGTCTTGCCATGTGTACTCATAATTACTTCCATATTTTTTTTCTCTGTAAATGGAACAAGCAAATGTGGGTACCTTCTGCAAAATTCAACTGGCATTAGTGCTGGAAAAGCTTTAGGTATATAACTGTATCTGATAAACCATACAGATTGCATTATCTTTGCAGTTCACTGACACCCTCTTGTAGTATTTTATCAGTAATAAACATCCCCGTTCACATCCCAGTTCTCTGTTAGCTTTTATAAATCTTCCCCAGCCTTCGTGCACAAACAGTCCTTACTGGGAACACAGTACTCATATTTACATGCATTCATGAAACTGGCCTCCAAGCCAGAATGTAATGCCCATTTCTTTGTTTCCAGGCATTTAAACTTAACATTACTTGTATATGCTAAGAAGAAAGATGACGTCATAGAGCCATACCTCAAATTCTTCAGAAAAACCATTACTTGCATGTAAATCTGCAACATGTTTTGGAAAATGCTTTATTGGAATTGCTCCAACATCATCTTAGGGGTGGGAAAAGACAAAAAATATATTTATGAAGAACAGAAAGCCAGTGACATATAAAGAAGTTTATACGTAGGTAATCCACAAAACATCCTGAAATAAAACTTTTGCCATGAACTTTGGATATACAACTCCCACAAAAATAAAAACTCTTTAACACCATGAACATCTCTAAAATCATTCTCTATCACTTAGACATTTCTAAACAGCAATTCTGAAGGAAGATATAGAACATGCCTAGTCAGGTCTTGCTCAGCCTTTCAGCCCCCAGAATCAAGGTGCTGACTCTGCAAAACGCTGAGCTTGTCTGTAAAATGAAGAGCGCTCAGAACTACCTGTGAAGTGAAGGGGAAATGGGAGGGTTGGCAGTTTGCTAAAGATGTTCAGTGGGACAGGGTAGGAACAGAGCTCTGAATAATAGTGGTAAAGAAAGGACGATCAGGCAGAGGAGCCGGGGTACTTCAGACTGACTGACGTGGCACTGGGACTCTGATACAGTACGTGGATTAGCTGCATAGTCCCAAGTCTGCTAAATTAATGCAGCATTATGCCAGTAGTATGATTTCAACTGGTGCATTGCATGTTTGCATTGTCCAGTGGGGATTTTTCCCCCCATTCTCCCCATGATTACATACTGATAATAATCTTATGTCTGATCCTGGGAGTATTGACTGCAAATTTTCACATCAGGCTTTATACTTCAAGTTTTAAGTGAAAGATTTAAGACTTTCTGGATACCCACAAAGACAATATCTATATTCTCAACCAATACATGTGATTCATGGAACTTCTGGGTCCTGATACCAAGTCTCAATTTTCTGATGTTTGTATTTCAGAACATCTCCTTCTTCCTTTATACGAATACAGAAAACACTCTTGTGTAGAACGTTCATTAGGGATCATGTCAAAAACCTTAGGGGTTTTTAATCTTATCTTTCCTGCAAATATGCTATGTAAACAAAGTCATCTGTTCTGTTAATTACCTGTTAAAGGATGACATTATTTCTGCTAGTTTTAGTTCTGAAGAATTTTTTTTTTTTAAAGCCTTTCATGGATTAAAAATATGTTTACTTCACAATTTGCAATTTCACCACTGTTTCATATGAGAAATAAACATCAAAAACATTGAATAAGGACTTGTTATTTACACCAACAGATGTTCAGCATTTAGGCCACCTAATAATTTTAGCTTTCATTTACCAAGAATTTGTTGATCTGTATTGAGATCCATCTGGTCTTCCGTTTACAAGAATGGATCTAAATACAAAAAGTGAATTTATCCAGTCAAGCCTAAGAGAAGCAGAACAAATGTGTAACACTATCTTCACACTTCGGAGACGAAACCTGGCATAAAGTGTTTATTCTAATGATATGCAAACAAAAAAATCCAGAAGGGAAGGTAAATGACCTTAAGAGCAAGGACAGTAAGAGAGAAAGAGATCTCAGGTTGTAATTACTGTTTTATTTCCCTGTCAGTGCTAATCTCCCAATTCAACCACTTCTGACTCCAGGAATATATTTTGTATCTGGATGGCAGATATCACTTGAAACTACTTAAAGGTTGATAGTAGGTCCTAATATTACCCTTTAATTTATTATTTGCTCTGGATGCATCTTTGAATTATGCTGTGAAGTGCCAGGGTATTTTCTGTGAATAACTGCAACTCTTGTATCTCTGCCAATGAAACTCCACAAAAAGAAAACTTACTATATAATGAGATCTGTGGAGTGTGCTTTTAGTCATAGTCATAATAACAAATTAAAGTTAGCAGTCAGAAAATGTTCTTCCTGCTCGACGCTCTTTGCCAGTATTATATCGCAGTTACTCTCAATTGTTGTAAAATTACACTGCTGAAACACTTGTGCAACGGAAAACACAAAAACTGCTCACTTGACATCTACTGCATGCAAAATAAATCAAAAATATTTTCTCAGTGCTTGCAGCTTTTTTAATGAAATATTTTATGTATCTTTTAGTCACTTACAAACACTTTTCTCTTTAAGTTAATGTTTAGCACTATTTCAGAAAGAAAACCTCCAGCATCAAAACACATATTTTAAGCACTCAGGACAAATATAAGTGCAATTCTGTCTTATGACAATGGAACACATTATCTCCCTAAGGTGAGCTGGTCAGGAAAAATTGTAAGAAAATTATACCATTGTACTGCAATATAGTTAATGATAGAGTAAGAGCAGAAATTTCCTATAATGATTGCCACTTGACGTTCATAAATAACCACATGTTTTCTGAAATCAAGTTGTATCCCTGCCTATTAACCATTTAGAAAGAGGTTATGCATCTCCTAACAATAGCAATCAATACAAGAGGCATTTAAAGATGCCTACAATTCAGTTACAACAGAAGTCTAATATTTGGGATTTATTTAATTAAATGTGTTTACCAGTTATCTACACAAGGGCTGATTTTGCTTCCCTCAATCATTCCAAGGGAATACATCCTCCTGTGCAACAGCACAGTTTGAAAAAGCACTACTTGTAGAACAAGATACTCTTTTCTCATGGGTGAAAATGTGGCTCGGGATCTGCTGCAGATTTATTTATTTAAGGTACTTTTAATTCTACTCAGATTGAAAAAGCTGAGAGAGCTGCACATGCTACTCTGCTACTCTCTGGGGAGGAAAGAGAAGAGTTTCTCCAAACAACTGTGGTGGATATGGAACCAGAAGATATCAATAATATTCTGCACTTGTGTATCATTTTTATGAGAGCCTTACAGAGAACTTTATCAGTATGCTAGTAAAATTTATAAGTTAAAGAAAATGTTGTAATTACAAATGAAATGCAGATAGATGAGGCATACGTTGGTCCTGCTGGTAAAAAGAAGAGGTCATGTTCTACACATAAGTGACAAATTCAATTAAAGGCAGAAATACAGCAGATAACGTTGCTGGTGTAATCCTCTACTTTGTGACAGTGAACTAGAGCTAATTCATGTAGCTCAGATGGCTACACTAGAAGCCATTTCTAGTGAGGCTTTACCCCAAAAATGGCTAAGAGGCACAGCACATCTTTGAAACAACTCTGCAAGATGAGGATATTTCTCTTCTGTGTCACCTACAAGACAGAACATTAGTAACACTAGTCTCTGCCTCCATCAAGTGCACCTGGGTTTATTAGTACAAGAGGGTACAAATCTCTGGTTTACAGATGTTACAGTACATGAAGAATTCATATGGACACACACGAAGCAGCATCTTCAGACAGCTCAGACCAATCCACAGAACAGCTGACAAAAAAAAAAAAATACCTGAGACCGGGAAGATTGGAGCTGGGGGAGCAGAAATCACTCGCGGTGATGTATTATCTTCTAAATAAAAGTGAGCAGTCTGGAAACATTTCCTAGAGGGGAAGAAACATAAATAAATATTGCAAAAGATAAAACATTATCTGAGACCTTTTGGAATTCTGGCATTATTGAGTAAGAAAGAAATCACGGTTTTGAAAACCAGTTTTCACGGAGTGTCAAATATTACTACTCTAATATAAGTATTTCCCCAACACACTACCAAATTATTAATACAACTTGAAGATACTGCATTAACTCAGCATAATACATAGTTCATGCATCTTTACCTATAGCAGAGGCAGAAGACAGAGCACCCATCAGACATATTGAAAGTGGAAAGAGGGACTCTGCATCAGGAGCTACTGTAGATGCTGCACAACAACCCAAGTATAAAAAATGCCATTGTCTTCCTTGCTTATCCAAATTGGCACATGTAATTATTGTTCCCTTTCATGTGATTATGCTAGCCTGAAGATGGAGCAGTGCATAAGATCAGTTCTGGTAATTCATTGGTAGATCCTACTGCAAACACAGAAATGCAATAAGAGGCAACATGCCCTGTGGCAGACAACACGTGGCTCTGGAACTACTATGACTGGGGATAAACATTTTTTTTTCATGATGTAGTTGCAACAGTGAGGGACACCTTAACCAAGGATGACTTCCTGAAGTTGACAGGGAAATTTATAACTGCAGGAGATTCTAGCTTTGTTGCAAAAACATTGAAGGATGAATACAAATGGAATCAACCTTAACCATGACCCACAATGTTCTTTGTGCTGTAATCCAGATGTGAAGATAATAAGAATAGCATCTGTTAAGAGTCCAAGCTATTCAAGGGACTAAATAACCAACTGCTGCTGTAAGCATTGCAAAGCCTCCTTAATTAAAAAATCTCCATATGATTAGACATGCTAATAACAATCTTTACTCTGGGTCACTTAATCTATTTGAAATATTATTCACTAATCATTAAATTTAAAAAGAAATATATGCACCATGAAAATATTAATCTCATTTTATATTCACAAGATTCTGCTTCTTCAAAGCTGTTGGCTGAAGCTATTATATCATCTTTTGCTATTTTGGCTAATCACTGGTGTTTTAAATTCTTCTGTACTGTTCCTGTATGGATAAACCCTCTCAGATAACTGTTATAATAAAAAATAAATTTTGAAGCTATTTTGAGAAATAGATAGGGAATATGCAGATTTTGTCAGTCTTTCCAGAACCATTAATGTAGATCATAAAGTCTTTGGTAAGCTTATTTGAATTAAGCCTCTGGGAAAGATGCCCATAGTCTTGGAATGTGTTGTGAATTTTCTGTCTGTGTACAATGCAGATTTTCCTAAAACACAAGAAAAAGTGGACAGCTACATCAAAGGGAAAATTGTGGCATGAAAAAGAATTCTGTTGACTCACATGACAATTAAATTTGGAGTGCAGCTAAAATCCTCTAAAAGCATCCTTGTGACAGTCACTGAGGAGCTTTGACTTTGCATGACATATTTGGGGTTAAGACCACCCATTATGTACTTAGCTTTACTTAAAAAAGGCAATTTTGGAGGCAGACCAAGAACACTTTCAGTATGTGCTTGGGAACATCTTTCTAATGTTTAAAGAGGCTCTAACTTCAGCACCCCATAGAGTTGGGAGCTGCTGAGGTGAGAGAGGTTGTCCCAGTGTAGCATAATACTCAAGACTTAGTCTCAGGACTGTGCACACAATCTCTGTAAGAGGTACCAGGTATCAAAGCACTTCAAATCACTAAACACTTTTGGAAAGTCTGGCCCTGCCTTATGGGTACTGAGAATGCTGACGTACTGTGTTTATTAAAAAAGGCACCGACCAGCCAAACAGGCCAACCAGCCTGACTGGAACAGGTTGCCGAGATTCAGGTGGTATAGACACGCCATCCCTGGAAATATTCAAGGTCAGATTGGACTGGGGTCTGAGCAACCAGATCTAGCTGAAGATGTCCTTGCCCATGGCAGGGGAATTAGACTAGATGACCTTTAAGGATGCCTTCCAATGCAATGCATTCTATGATTCTATGATATCAAAGCTCTAAAACCAAAAAAAAAAATTGTCACCTCCTTGCTTGAGAAAAGATTGAGCTAAAAAGAATTTAATTAGCATAATGGCTTTCACATGTAAAGCAGTACTTAAAATGTCTTCATAATATGCATACATTCACTATCCCTTATTGAGCCACTGTATCTTTAATCTTTAACAAGTTAATTGTGGCTGAAAATAAATTACACCCTTAGCACATTTGGGAGACAAATCCGTAGCAGTTGACTTAACCTGTAATAAGGCTCATAAATAGGCACTCCATCTGCTTCTGCATCAGCAGTGAAAGCCTTCACGACTAAACCTAATGTTAATAACCATGTCTCGTTAATTATCACTTGTTGTTAATGGAAAAAGTGATGACTATTTCAAACTTCCAGACAAAGGTCCCATCACTCAATGTTAACCTGATTATTTAATTTACACCTTTCATCGCAGCATTAAGATCTTCGACCTAAAACTGTAATTTGTAATTTAGACACCGCACTTCTTTGAACACACGTTTTATCTACGGACATACTGCTAAGTCATTGAATTAATTAGCGTGTCTCTATCCGTACAGGAAGGCATGCAGCAGAAGCTCTTGGGTTTAACAGGAAGGATACCAGAGCTGAACGAATACATAAGCATGAGCTACTTGGGATAAGACTACTCCTCACACTGCAGAGGACATCGTTTTCCAGGCATGTGAGCCTCTGGATCCTGGCTAAGGATATGTCCTGCCTATTTCCCCCTGGGCCAGGGACTGCTCAGAGCTTGACTCGGATTTTCAGGGAGGCAGGCAGCATGGCATGGTGCTGTGCGTGTGTGTAAGGATGTTCAAGGGTGTTCACCGCTTGCATCGCTGAGGAAGGGAGCTGAACCTTGAAGTTAGAGGCACCTGCGACTGGATGGATTTGCACATCCAGTACTCATCCAGAATCATCCTAGAGGCATGACTACTACTTTTTCTGAGAATTTCAAGGTCTTTTGTGCTCACAGAAAATCTCCCAATAGGTATTCTCAAACACTTATTAGATTTTTTTTAATTATTCCCATCATTTAAAGATCTGATGGTTCCAAAGGATCTTTAAATGGATCCTCAGTTGATCCAGTCATTCCAATTATTCCAATTAATTTTTAAGTGCACGTCAGCTGAAATTTTAATTTTCAAATTTTATTAACTATTTTATTTGTAATTTGATGTTACATAGTTGAGAAGTTTTTCCTTGCTGGGTGGACAAGTGTGGCCTTTGTAAGTTTAAATCTGATTTTAGGTTGTCTCTGCATGTGTGAATTTAACTATCCTTACAGAGGGTTCACAGCTCTGTTCCCATAAACCTAACACAGGATTCAAGGCATCAGTTCAAATCAGGGATAAGAAAATGAACATTCTCTGACAGCTGTGTTTCAGAGACATAGGGTGATAGAGGGAAATTAAAATTCAAATGGCTGCTCAGGGTACTGTCTCTTATTGGGTTGGTCATTTCTGAAGCACTGCTGTCATGTAACTTCTAGGAGGCTTCATGACAGCCAGCTGGCACTCAGAATGTCTATAGATAGAAATGTAGATGGAACTGCATTAGTAGTTTGCTGTTCATGTTATTAGAGCTAGTGTCTTACTGAGATTCATATACATTTGTTGAAAATAAATCTTGAATGGTACAACTCCCACTGACAACTGTTACCATTTTACTGTTTTCCAAGCTTTTCTTATGATAACCACTATAAAAACCAATTTGCACAAATAGCCTGACATTTCTTCCTATACATCAGCTTTATTTTCATTGATCACTTCTATGAACTGCTCCAAAAGAGTACACACATACACAAGCAATTTCCAGTATATTACATATCAGCACAGAGAAACTTTCAGTTTCGGTCACCTTAACAGATAAGGTTAATTCAGCAAAATAGGAATGATGAAGCCATCCAGAAATGAAAAGAACAGAGCAAGAAGATTAAAATATCCCTGCTGTATCTCTGCTGAAAGGACTCAGTCAAGTAGATAGATACTGAGAGAGATGGATGGACTCGAGATTTGGATAGAAAATTCTCTCTAAAGCTGTAAAAAAAATCTATCCGGATGACAAGGCCATTAAACAGGCAAAAGAATCTCCTTGTTTATTCCACTTTAATCTTAATCATGCTGAAGAAATGAAAGGAAAATAACATTGCTTGAAAATTGCTAGAATTACAAAAGATTGGATACACAGAACTAGAGTAGTTCAAAATTGTGTATTTTCCTACTGGCAATTAGACAATCTTTAGACAATATTGCCATTAAAAGTTTTCATCCCTGTCAGAGAAATGAATATTTTATCACAGAAAGATTGAAATTATGCTTAATGAGATAGTGAAGAGATTGGGGAATTTCCTCAAGTGCTGATTAACAATTTCATGTAAAAAACCCCCTCAAAACCCAAACAACAGATGGTACAGAATTATTTTTCTGATACAAGTCACTCACGTGAAGAACAAAATAATTTTGCCTTTTTTTTACCTTGAGAAACTGGACCTTGTCACTCTTGGTCATTACTCGGTTTTAAAACCAAGTAACACACCTTTTGCATATTAAATACACCTTTTGCATATTCAAATTGGGAGCTAATAGTGGAAACAACTGAAAGAACTATTCACTGAAATACCCATCTAGGATATACCAATGCAATTGTTTTGACTACTGTTGCCAAAGGAATATAGATTACTTCTTGCAGACTTAAACTTTTTATGAGCTTTAATAAGTGAAAATAATTGGCCCATGTAAGAAAAGCATTATAAAACCAAACACTGACAGTTTACATCAATTATTTCAAAACTGATTCTAACCATAAAAATGCTTATAGACTTTATACTAATATTTTCCAGGCATAAAGAAAACTGCATAGCAAGAAAATTCATGTTCTGATTTTTCTCAGGCTTTAAAAGGAGGTGGGGGTCTTGGTACATTTGAAAGAGGACCACAAAGTCCCACCTACAATACATACCATTTATGTTGCATTCCTCTGAATTAAGAAACATGTTACTGGTATCATCATAATGCCAAGAAAATTTTCTTGAGGATTAACAAAAAAAGAGCTCCATATTTTATTTTGTAGTACACAAGAAATACAGAAAAGATTAAATTCAAGTTCAAGAACATATTACTGCTAACGGGATTTTTGTTTTATTTTGAAAGACCTATGTTACAGAATTGTTCATTCCCAGAGAAAGAATACGAAATGAACACAATGTTATTCGACAAAAACAAGCTTGTAACGTGTAGGATTACCAGAACTGCACTGTACAATCTGGGTCTTAAAATGGATGGTGTTCTTTGGCAAATAGAGGAGATTTCGAATACTATTTAACTTCAGGGATGAAACCCTTTGGAAGATGAATATGAAAGTTCATGTTGCCTAACATGAAAGACAGAAAAAGGTTCTCAGTATGAAAGTGGTTATATGGAAATCCTGTGATGGACAGTGTAATTATCCAACTAAACATAAACTAAGAAATCAGTTGTGTAATTCTTAGGGCAATTAACCACTTCTTCAGAAAGAAGAAGAAATCTTTCTGAAAATTCATTGCTCAAAAGTGTCTGTAGTCATGCTAAAGGCTGGCTAACTCACTAGCACACTTGCCTGGACTGAAGGAAGCTTGAAGTCAATTTCTTAGGCCTAGTCTGTTTAGGGACAGGATGGATTCTGTCCCCACGTGGGACATACCCTGCTGGGCCGATAGAAAACCAGTGTCAGGAGACTGGAAGAAAAGTCAGTAAGCTGAAACTTGACATCACAGCCTTGAGATTACAGTACTCAATAGCTTGGAAAGGGCAGTCTGGGAACTAGTTCCTGGTTCTTCACTACTTTTATACATTTTAGATTAAGCAAGATTGAGTAAGGGAAAAAAGAAGAAAGAAGCACTTGAAGCATCTGAGATGTTTGGGCCTGCCTTCCCCCTTGTTCATACAGCTGCTGGAAGAGCAAGGTCTTGTTTCTTGCTGCTAGTTTACGTGTTAGCTCTACAGAAGCAGTAATAGAATCAGGGTCCTGGAAATCACCAAAGAGCAAGAATCTCCGTGGGAGGAAGTTTTTGCAACTTATTTCCTTGTTAGACCACTGTGTTTGTTCCCTGGCAACCTGCACACCTGAGGAAGTGTTAGGGTTGTGCGTGAGTTTTGAAAGCTTGAGCAGATCAGTCGCTAGGAAGACTCTCTGGCTTTATCTAGAACCAACCGAACAGCCAGATAAAGGCTTGAGCACTGTCACATATTGTCACATACTTAACTAGATTCCTGGTATGCTTTTAGCTCAGGCCAAGTTGCATTACTTCACGCAGCGCTTGACACAATTCGGGCTAGCACAGGACAGAAACCATCTCCAGCAGGGGATGTGAATGGTGTTTTCCCCTGTGTGGGAAGAGACGTTGGCTGTATGGAAGAGATCTGTGCCATGCCAGCTGGGGCTGGAGAAGAGTCTCTGGTCTGCTTTATTCCACAATATAGATATTGTCTTTTACGTTCACTGATTATGCTATCGTGACTTCTTGCATCTGTCACTTTCCTTTAGCTTAATTTTTTTTCTTACTCTTCTATCAATTTATCAAATCACAGAGAAACACATCCATGAGGGAACTTAAGCATGTTTGTGCACATGAAACGTCCTTAGATGCCTGTTGAATGGTTTGAAAGGCTGGGGGGCAAATTTTGATCTGGCAGTAGCACAAAGCAGAACAACTTTTTAATCACAGAACATTGTAAGATCTACTCAGTAAGTGATCTTAACACATTTATACTATTATAGTATCATTAAACTACCCCATTTCTGTCTTGCATACAATGCCAGCAGCAGCACACTCCTCATGTTCTATATGAGTTGCTTATTTGGATAGTCCTGTTGAGGATCATAGATTCTCATCCTAAATTGGCAACTACGTTTTTAACTGTTAAGGAATTGGAAAGATAGGAAATGAACCCATGCCATGCTATTCACTTTTCTTTTCCTTCTTCTTCTTCCCAGTGCTCTGTTAAGTCACTTGTCTTCTAGGCATTAATAATCACAAGTAATAGTTTACTAAAATCTCTCAATATAGAAAGAAACTATCTGCAATGGTTCAACCTTCTGCAACCAGAAAGAATTGTAGTGGAGCATTTTAGACAGAAACCACCTTATTTTGTCAACTTTATGTCACTGCAGGACTGGAAACAATACAAAGACGTGGTGAGAAAGATACAGTCTCCCTCTTGTAAGCCAGCTCAATAATGCCAATCACATTTTTGAAATCAGAGCTCTTTAGAACTGGAAAAAAAAACCCAAACAAAACCAAAAAAACCAACCAAAAAACAACTTACCTCCAGTATATGAGAATACCCACAAGAATCACTAGACAGATAAAAGTCAGGGCTGATACGACCACAAGTGGTATAACTGTCTTCTTCTCTGATTCCAGACTCTCAGCTAGACCAATACGAGACTCATGGCTACTATTACTTGCCTCTGCAGTCAGAGAAAATTGAAACAGTCCATGTTTAAATTCTGAGAAATGCACAACACGAGTGAATGTGTCTTATAATGCACCTACTTGTTACCACTTACCTCTGCTCTTTACTACGTACTGCAGAAAGTGTATACATTTGCAAACCAGCTTACAGAAAATAAGCAGATAGAGGGTAAAGCAAAGTGTACAAGCTTATGTGACTCAGCCTTCCAGCAGTGGACACTTCTTTTTGTAAGAATAGCAGATGGTTGTTAAAATACAGGAAAAGAAAGTATTTTATTTTCATCTGTTTATTAGCTGAAAGCCAACTGAATTAAGGCATCTGAATATAGAATATTGGAATGTGTAAAGAACATTTTGATATTAAACTGTCACTCTTGTAATGCAAATCACTTCTCTGGCTAATAGTTTAATAGGAAAAATTTGTTACAATAGTCCCGATGTGCTTGCTGTATTGCAGTTAAACCTTCTGTATTTAATACATTGCCCATTATGTAACTTGCCTTATAGATCCATCCTGCTTCCTTTGAATCTAATTGCAGTACTTCCTCCCACAGCTATACTGGAGCCAGAATTAAATTTCCTACATCCATTTTTAGAGGTGATAAAATTATTCTTTAGGTGTTGTCTAGATTTCACATTTCTGTCAGCCTTGTAATGCTGGGTGACAGGAATATTTGGGCATAGGGGTCTGTATGAAGATTAAATCAATATATTTTATAATCTCATTAAAGAAGGGAATACAGTGGTGGATGAGACCAATCCTGCATTTTTAACTTTGGTTATACCTCAAGAAGTAAACACTTTAAAACTTGTGATTTTGACACAAAACGACCAATTCTTTTCAGTCTGTGTAGTTTACTGTGGTCTGTGACAATTACATAAGGTAAAACACAGAAATAAGCACTTTTGCACTTTTTGGAATTAAACCCCTAGATCTTGTAAGCATGTTTTCTGCTTTTGTGAACAGTCCTAATTCAATGAATGTTCTGTATGGGAGCAGAAGTTTGCTGTCTAGATATCAGCTGTGCTTCACTGGGATTTCAAGGGACCAATTCTACACGAGTAAAAAGCTGTCAGACAAAAGGGAAGAGGAAATGGAGTTGGATCAAAAAAAAAAAAAAAAGACAAAAAATCACATGTGCTAAATAGGATGTCAAAAACCAAACAGCTTCCCACAGTGCAGATTTCCAGGCAGTTCTCTGCTTGTTTCCATTTTCTTGAGCTTAGGGGCTTTCAGGGCTTTATATACAAAAAGGTCTAGGCTCTGATCTTGCAGACATCTTCTTGGTTTTAGTTCACAGTATAAAAAACACCCAAATGAATCACTACTCTCTAAATCCTGTGCCTCAGTGGGCAAAGTGTTTGCAGGACAAGTTTCTTCTGCAAAATCTGCCCCCAAGTTTCTGATGAGCAGGCTGAAATCAGTATTTCCTATTGATTTCAGAAGAAACTGTGTATGAATGAGAGATCGGAATATGATCCCTTTGAAGCATTCATACTTGATTATACAAGTCTGGACTAATTCTCAGCATAAAACCCAGCCTTATCTGTGTGATTGACAGGGTTCTCTCAAACGGCATGATCAAATCATATTAGGATTTCTTCCATAGGGAATGAAGAGCAGACTTCTCCTGTAACAGGGGTTTCTTGCCTACTTGGACATCACTCCAACGATTGCGGCTGAAAAGGCAGTCTCATCTACAGCAGGTTTCTTTGTTCCCTAATAACTGATGTGTTTGGATCCTTTGCATATTTCTTTATATTAATTTCTCTTAGAGTTTTTTAACTGAAGTTGAAAGTTTCACATAGCCATAGAGGTCTTATGGAGAAAGCCCTCGTTCAGAAAAAGCATAAGATTGCATCAACAACTACTAAGACTGGGAAAAGTTTAAATGACAATTTCTGTAATAGTGAGAACAAAAGATACTCCATCAGTTTTTGGTGAATGCACTGTAATGTATAAATAAGTTCTCAGCTAAGAGGTTTTGCATTGTTTCATTTCTTTATAACTGAATTAAACAAAGATGTCTGATGTACAGGAGACCATGTTAGACATGCTCACATTGAACTTTCAATTTATTAAATGACAATATTTGGCATCATTTATTGAAAAAAATAATGTACATGAAATGATACTGTATAGTGTCTTTCAATATTTAGAAGACAAGCTCTAAGCCTGTTTTACTGTTATGACTACTCCTCCAGTAATGTATAATCTTTTTGAGTTACTATGAGTAACAGTGCAAATGACACCCATTATGTAAACTATAAATCTCTTGTAACATTCATTCACATTAGTAACATAAGTTTTGAAATACTGGTGTTCTTTTTGCTGATTTTAAAAGAAATGTTATGCATTTTACACAGTGTGGTAACTACTTACCTACTAAACTAATTCACTTATTGATTCAGCTTTATAACATCTACGTTGTTAGGACTCCTACTAATTTCAGTATGTTTTCTATTTTATTTTTATTTTAATTTCTGATTTAACATTCTACTAGCCACAGCTACATGGAGTGTCAATTTACCACCTTTCCATATTAATATGCTGTTGCTCATGAGTGGTACGACCTCATGTGATTTAACTGGTGTATTTGTAAGACGGGGCTGAAAACTTTGCATGCTTTGTGGATCGCATTCCTTAGTGGGTTTACTTGAATGATACTGCCCTCTACAGATGCTGTCAGTACTTAGTGGAAGTTCAATTTCAAATATTTCAAATAACTTTCTTTGTTGTTGTGGGTTTTTTTTTTTTTTTCCCCTTCCAAACATCATAGATTGTTTCTGACTTCACTCTTGGATTTTTAATACTCTAACAATAGGCAATGCAAATTCTGTGTCTGCATACTTCAGGTTTTCCACAATACATTTTTAAACACAAAGAAAATGCTTTATATTTATCAGGTTTTTATCCATATGAGGATCAGTTTTGCCTTCTGACCTTATCCTTTGAATCAGATCACAAATACTCTCACTGACTTTAAGAGGACTAAATAGGAAAGTAGAGCGAAATATAAACAGGTACAGGACAATCTGGCTCTAAGTATTTTGGAAACATACAAATCTGGCACAAAAAGTTTGCAACTCACTGAAATCTGAACATGGCATACAGAGTAAGAATGAAAACGAATGTTTTTATGAGTTAAGATGTATCAGATTCACACTGAAGCATCTTATTCCTTGCTCAATAAATCTTAGAAAACACAAATCAAAACACAACGAGGAAATGTGCTGGTATGAGATAAAAACCAGAATCTCAGAGGTATGTTTCCTCTGGCAGACGCACAGTTTTCTCTGGCATATTTCCATAAGGGCAGCACTTGACTTTGTGCAGAGAACTTACATCCCTCTTAAACCTTTAAAACTAAAATTAAACAATTAACATTGAAACAAATTCTGGTTTTAGATTGTGCATCACTCAACTTCTGCTGACAGTATGCATCTATCCAAAACCAGAGCGTGAATCTTCTTACTGAAGAATATTTCAGGTGCAGTTTTAAGTAGCTGGAAGTAGCATTCCCAAGATAAGCAGCTCAGCATGCACCCCCTGTTCCCCAATGCTTCCTTCATCACACCCACTGGCACCGTTATGTTCTGCTTTTATTATACGTATATAAACCTCATTCTCTATGGCACCAAAGTATCCCCTCATAGCTCTCCACGGCATTCATTACTTATCCGTAACTAACCTGCCTCAGAGATGTTGAATACTGATGCGTGATCGCTAGCAACAGACGAGGCTGATGACTGCGATGATCCAGGAGTTAATTCTGAGTTACCTGCTTCCACTGCCCCTTCAGTGTCTCTCTCATTAAGGTCAGGAAAACTGAAATCTGTTGAAGTTTCATTATCATTAAGGCTATCTGAGGTACCTTGGCCAGAACCACTTTCTTCATCACTTGTAAAAACAGCCCAAGACTTGGACTCTGATGTGTTTTGCAACGGGACACTAGCAGTCTGAATGTGGTTCTCCAAAACTGGCGCGTCGTTGTGCTTCTTGGGCATCACGCTTGCTGTCAAAGTCGGTATGGATGTATGATCACGTCTGTCCGTGGCATGGTTTATCTGACTGTCTGAGGCAGCAGTCGAAATTTTCTCTTCTTCTTCAGGTTTCTCAGAATGTGAGCTTATAATTAGGTTACTCTGATCCTTGTTATTGATAACCTTTGTATTTTGTTCCTCTACTACCATATCCTCCTGAGCTTCTCTATGGGAAGTGCATGAGATACAGTTACTTACAGGGAAGCCATCGTCATATTCATCGTAGTCATCCTCAACTACAGAAGGCCACAAATCGGTACTGGACACGATACTGGGAGACAACCCCGAGGATTCTCTAGAAGGAACCAGCAACCTATTCAAAGTTACAGGGATCTCACTTTTGGGAGGAACAGCCGTAACAGAAATATCTACATTTCGTAAAGGAAGAGTGTGATGAATGGACACGTCAGAATCAGAAACAACTGCAGGCATACGAACAGCATCAAAACCAAGTGTAGAACTTGAAGAGACACTGGCAGCCTCACTTCTTTCAAAACCACTTGAGGAGATACGGCTGTCTGCAGGAGTAGCTACGTGTGGAAATGTATCACCTGTGAGGAAGGGAGCTGTTACGGCATTCGCTGCTTGGAGGGGAAAGGCATTTGTACTTTCTAAACTGGTCAGCTGGAGGGAAACATCACTATGCTGAACATCTTCACTGTTAAACAAACTGGATGAACCATATTCCTCACTTGCATAAGAAACAGATAAACCTTGAAGTGACGCTGTGGGCTTACTAAAAGTGTTTGACAACATATCGGCAACGGAAGGTGCAGGTGTAGAATGCAGCATGGTTTCAGTTGTAGCAGAACTTGGTGCCATTTGATGCAATATTTGGTCAAATGTAGAACTAGGTTTATGAACCCTGGAGCTTTCAGCCAATATCGGATCACTAGGCACAGCTGCAGCCGTGTTAAGCAGAGTGCCATCGCCAGAAGACTGGAAGGAGGATTGCAGTAATGCTTCATTATTTAATGTAGCTGAGGTCTCATAAAAGTATGGCTGAGTCGAGGATAACATTTTGCTATAAGCAGGGGCAGAGAGAGCTTGATCTGAGCTTGCACTAAGCATAGGTTTAAGCAAAGTGTCATCAAAGTTTGGAGTTGTAACATGCAAAGGCTGAACGGAAAGGTGTTTTTCTGCAAGTTTACTAATATCATGATCAAATATCTTAGTAGTGGGAAAAGCAAGAGAGACTGGAAGGATTCCCTTTGTGCTAGAAACAGGAAGTGGGCTTTCTTGCAGAGACATATTCTGCTTAATTACATCATTATTAGAAACAGATGTAGAAAGTTCAGGTATCACTTTACTTTCACCATTGGAAGCCATTTCACTTAAAGAAGAGGAAATTTGCAGTTCTCTCTCATCTCCATATACAACATCACCTTTTTGAAGCATCTTATTAACATCACTAAACCCAGATGATTCATATGTAATTTCATCTACAGAATCAGAGGAAGAAACGTTAAGTACTGTCAAAGTATCTGTATCAGGCAAAAGGGACTCGCTACCAGAGTATGCTTCAGACCAATCCGTATCGCTAGATAGAGTGCGCGTAGGCTGCAGCAAAGTATCAGCTTGTGATATTACAGAAGAAGGTTTATGCACCAGTACATTGTTATAGCTGCTAAATAAAGGTTCTTGACGAAATACGTCAACAGAATCATGCACAAATTCTGTGGAGTCATGGGAAACAGTAAAGCTTTGGAGGGAGCCCACATTACTAGACAAAGCATAAAGAAGTTCAGACATTGTAGGTAGTACATGCATATTTACATCACTGCTGGATGGTTCAACTTGAGAAAATATGTGAGTTCTATTATGACCAAATATCAGTGTCTCTGAAGCGGCATGAGTAGTCTGATGTGACACCACATCAGCATATTGAGCAAGGCTTGGCTGTATTAATGTATCACCCTCTGCCAACGTCAAAGAAGCATGCAGGGACACCTTATCACTTGCAACAGCTGGAGTAGCACTTTGTGGAAACATTTGAGAAACTGTATACAAACGGTGAAACATTTTACTACTGGAGGAAGCAGAGGAAAATGTAAGCAAAGGTACGTCATCATAGGAAGACAGGGTGGGTTCAAATGACACATCAACACTGGGAAATACAGGTGTAGCATGCAAGGTCACACCACTATCTGATGTAGCAGGGGTAGTGTCGAGCATCTGAGAGTCAAACAACAAAGGGGTGACTAGAGGAAACACTTCACTACTGTAGGAAGGTTGAAGAGGTATCTCACCATTATAGACTGGTTGAGTTGTCTGAAAGAGTACCTCACTGGCAGCAGAAGCAGAACCATATTCTCCAGAGCTTGAAGGGATAGAGTGAGGTGATAATTCAGCAGAGGAGAAAGCAAAGGTAGAATAATGTGGCAATTCTAAATCCGCATCTGAAGTGTCTTGTAAAACCACTGGGCTGCTGGAATAGGGCACTGTAGCTGGCTTTAATCCCTCTACGTAAGCATCAGTGTGACTGGTCTGAGACAATTGCCTGCTATCCGATGTATCAACAGATGGAGTTGTCGGATCTGTAGCATTACGAAACCATAAATTTCCATCAGTGGAAGAAGGATGCTCTGGAGGCTCATCAGAGCTTGAGGGTGCTACACCTTCTGAAACATACTTAATGGAGCCTTGGGAAAGAACATCATGCATGCTTATATCTGGGCTTCCTGAAGGAAGGGTGTCTTCTTGGGAGGTATCCTCTGTAACCAGCTGTGCTGAAGAAGTGGTAAGCACTGGACTCCAAAAGTCATCAGATTCCTGATGAGGTTTAAAAGGAGACAATAAGAAATCTTCATCACTATGGCCAGTAGTGGTTATTCTTGTTGGATCAGTGCCTGAAGAAAGGTATATGTATTCTTCTTCTACGCCTTTGGTGGAGACAGTGAGTTGAGGAGGAATTCCAGTAATTGTTTGGGATTCCAAAAATGGATCTTCCTCTTCTTCAGAAATTTCACTAACAGGTGGAGTAGTAGGGTAATAAACTGCTTTGAAAACATCATCCTTACCACGCAATTCTTCTTCTCTTGTTAAGTATCTATTTGTTTTAGATTCACTGGGGTTTGTCCCCATTTTTTCTCGACTGTAGCTGGATGTAGTCACCTGGAAATCTTTCCTCATTTGGTTTATTTTACTGTCAGTGCTAGAAATCACTGCAGTTTCTTCATCCACCTCTGTTTCCTTTTCATCAACTTCATCCTTTGAAAAAATATCATAGCCGCAGACAATTAAAAATGTTTATAGACACTGTACAAAAACAAAAACCAAAGTTGCAATAAGACATTTTCCTGGCTCCATAGAAACAAGAGGGGCAAAACAACACTTGAGAAGACTGTTGGTCTTAAAGCAAAATATTCAGCTGCAAGAACAGGTATCCTCTTCTCTCTTGAAAACATTACTTATTTGCAATACAAACAAACAAAAAATCCTGTGTCACAACCTCTTAAATATTGTGGTACTTTTACTCTGTTTGAGAAACAAAAACCACCCATAGTATTTACCTACTTTATTAAAAAAGCTCCATCTCTTTCCTAATAAAATGCAATTGCATATGCAGCAGCACACATCAATGAAAAAATGGTTTTGCTATCAGAACATACCCGAGCTGAACTCTGCAAACTAGATTGAGGGCCACCTTCAGTTTCTGAGGGACTTGGTTTGATAGGCAAACATAGCCCTAAGAGACACCAGCAAGAGAGCCTCTCACAAAATACAGAATGCAACGCCCTTTGTTTTTGAAGATCTGGCTTAGTGATGTGGTGGCAATACCCACTGTTTTTATTCAAAAGCATAATGTTGAGAGAAAACACCCAGAAGACTGGGACACAGTTATCAGTCTAAGAAATCCTTAGTTTCCATTATATTTTAGGCTGAGTAGATCTCCCACCCCTGCACTGATCAGGGCACAGCCAGGAACCTCTAGTGCTCTCACACAACACGAAGTACCTCAGACATGACTCGTTTGATGGGCCAAATACCTAAAATGTAGAGACATCAGCACGTAGACTGTGCCCTCAAACCTGGACTGGACTGCACAGGCCCTTGCTCCCGAAAATCTACTTTCTGTAGCGCAATGCCTGCACTTTTAAACTTTCTTAGTTCAAGCAAAAATTTGTTGACATTCACTGGCACTTGGTTACTGTCCTGACAGATGCAATATAATAGTCTAGATACACAGAAATAGAGAAATAACTATTATTGGTTACTCAGCCTCCACAAATACTAGGGAAGGTAAAGAGACAGGTAAGCACAGGCTATCTATTTAACTAAAAGGACTTGGCACTCAGTGAGAATATCGTGGTGATAGATTGAAACTACAAAATAAAAATTCTGAGGCAATAATTGATGCAAAGGTAGGTCTTACTGAAGGAAATATCCATGTTGGAAAATCAGTATTAGAGACTGTTTTAAACTTCATTGTAATATTTTCACCTCTCTCCTTGCTGGATCTCAAGCAACCAAATATGAAATCTGTGGAGGTTACCATAAAAATATCAAAAACTGTGCAAAATAGAGTTATACCGTAAAGTCTAACTTTCAAGAAGTAAGAGTAAATGACTAAGAATTTTGAAATAACTGTTAAATTCAAGAGATAGCACACTGATAGCAGGCACGCATGAATCCCAGTCTTCAGCAGAACTGCCTTCCTCTCTTATTTCAGTTTAGTACATGACGAGGTCATTGTAAGCAAGCCCAAGTCAGATTTGCCTTTAAACAAACTCAAAAGCCTAACACTGGGTGACAGCTTTGATTCTGCTAAATGAACAATTTTGTCAGGCTTCACTCAAAGGTGACAGTAACTTGATGCCCCATTTTTAAAAAGATTTAGGCATTTCCTGTGATAACCCTTACTTCTCCATGTATCCCCAGCCCCAGAGAACTAAATAGTGAGGTATCTCTAGAATACTCTAGGGAGAAATATGGCTGAAAGAGAAGGCTGTATATGCAAATATATATGTATGTATGTATAAATGCAGGTAATACATTCAGTTGGTGAAATAGTTTTGTAAATTTTCATAGAGTAACAATTCAATTTTGTTGAAATGTATGTATTTGAAATACTCTCTTAAAAATAAATGAATGCTATACCTCATATTCTTCAGTTTCGTTCAGTTCAGGAATGAGGTCAGCCTCTATAAAACAAAAATACACACCATATCATCCAACATTTTAAATTCACAGAATTATTAATTCTGCAAGGACTCAACTGATCAGTTAATGCATTTATTGAGACCCAGTCTAAGATGTTTTATAGGAAAGTGTTCAGAGAAGTGGCCAACAACCTGGGTTGAGGACTAGCTCTAAGGGTAGCAATGCTGACCTAGACAGGACACATTCAGCCACAACAGTTTTGCTCGGCTCTAATTTGATACTGCAGCACATGTTGGATCTGCACTGAGGAATCACATCCTGTCCAGGGAGAACCAAGTTTACAAGGATGTTTCCTACGAGAAAGTATAGTTTAATGCAGAAATACAGAAGGGAGAAAAAAGGTATGTCTGGGAATGAACTATTTCTCTACATTTAACCTGAAAGCTTTGAAACTGATGATGTAAAATGATCTGTTCTACAAATAGAGTACAGCAAATCCCTCATTTGTGCACCCAGGCTTGGAGCTAGGTACTAGCACAACACACCATCAAAATTCAGCATGGGTGCCTGCCTCCATCAGGGCAGAACAAAGAGACTGACCCTTACTAGAGTCCAGTGCTTAAGGCCCTTTTCAAACTCCCACCGCACTTGATTTAATGTAAGGACATGAGCCCAGTTGTATCTCATCTCACAAAATGTCCTCAATAAACAGGTACTGGGCACTCTGTGAGGAAATACTCTAAAGGTTTTTGAGACCTCATCACTTTTCACAAGTAAAAAACCATTGAAGCAGAATCAAGAAATGAATCTCCCATAGCCCAAGTGAGGATCCTTCTCTCTAGGTTTAGAGGTAATCTCTCTCTCACGTTCTTTCTCTCTGTCTTTCTGGCCAAATCCAGTATCATACTTCTGATGGTGGTCAGCAAGAGAAACTTCAAAGCTGGTTGCAAGAATCCTACGGGTCTGTAGTAGGAATGGGCACAGGTCTCCACTGATGAAATCAAATAGCCCTTCCACAGCATTAACTCATCTTACTGCTCCCTTGGTTCACAGAAAGACCCATTCCCTTTCTGAATATTTCTAAGGCTCTCTCCTAAGCCATGTTCTAGCACCCTGTCTGTACACCAGTGCTAGCACATATTCTGAGGGCTGATTTGCACTAAGCAAAAATGCCAGTCTCTTTGCCTGGGGAGCAATTCTAACAACAGCATCACACAGAGCTCCATGTTTGCATTTCCTTCACAGTTCCCAAGAGAAATTTTCTCAATATGCTACTATAAAGATGACATCTTTATACTTCTCATCTCTGCAAAATCAGATAGAGGTCTATGACTTAATTTGTATTCTCTTTGGTCTGTTCATATCTACCTTTCAAAGCAAATAGAGACATGTATTATATGCAAGACACATTAGATAAAGTTCATGAAACTAGCAAGCTCATATTGTTTAATTTGTAGACTGTAGCATGCAAACAGGTTTTGACTAAACAACACTGTACAAAATCTTCATAAATTGTTCTTTTGTAACAAACATTTACAAATGGAGTGAATTAAACTTTCATTAACAAGATAGAAAAAAATTATCTTACCTCTGACTCGTGGAAGCCTAAGAGGCTGCGGGGCAGGGTGGGGAGGGGAGCGAAGGGAAGGAAGGGGTGAAGGAGATAATGACATTCCCTGGCTTCTCAATGACATAAATCAAATATTGTAGACATTAGTTTCAAAGTCTTCCCACAGTAGGCATATACCATGTGTTATGTATTTAATAGACTTCTCTGAAAAAATCTTTTTAGTACAGAGAAATTCTAACCATTCTTTCTGTGGTCACTGTTCTTGAGTTGAGCTTTAAACAGACTCCAGCAAAAAAAAAAAAAAAAAAAAAAAAGAAGTGCTGATTGTACTAGAGTACACAGTAGGGTATGTGCTCTCAAAACTACAGTTTCTTATTGTCTCTATGGAGAGGCATTAACATACATATATAAAATATAGATTAACAACACCAAATCTTCAGGCATTTTACAGAATCTATTTAAATTTAGTTGGTCACATAAAATATATTTGTTGCAAGCATGAGAGGCAAACCCTTACAGAAGTTCTGTTAATCCTGTTGCTGAGTTTTTGATTTGATGGGAGATTATAGAAATCTGCTAACATCCCCCAACCAAGGAGCAGAACTGCACCCTCCAAAAAACAACCCATTGATGTAATCTGGTAAACAAGTTTGTTTATTTTTTCTGGAACCACATATTGATTTTTCTATATCTTACATTTTAAAATGAAATAATTAGAAAGTTTTTTAGAGGTCTTTTCACAGTCCATTTTAATGACAGATGAAGAAATTATTGAACAAAGATTGAACAAAGACAGAAAAGGTAACTATGTCCCTATGCTTATGTTCAATGCAAATATTTAAAAATATCTCTTAAAACAATCTGATTTGTAATTGTAGAATCACGTGCACAACATAAATGGTTTTCATTTCTGTACCATCTTATGCAATAAATGGCACATCAAGAACAGAAGTAATACCTGTTTTTTCTGATTTAATTAGTTTTCAGGTTTCTACATTTACCAGTACAAAAATTAGAAAAAAGAATCCCCTAAATGAAACATTTAAGATATGCTTAGTATTTTTTAGGGCAAAAGTCATGAAGACAAGTTACAAAGAAATTGCATAGTTAGACCCTCACAAAGCATCGCTGACAGCACTGAGCTGCCATGCAGGAGACAGCCTTGGAGAGCCATATCCCAGCATGGGTTTTTTCGATAAACACCAAGTGAAGTCCACACAAAGGAAGATAAGAGGAGAGAGACATTCTTACTTTTCATTTCCTGTGTCAGCAAAAGCATGTAAGTAACATTGATATTAACTACACAACAAACTACTGCAGAACTTTCAGAGCTATACAGATGTTATCTAGGGAGTTGAAGCACACATTTAGATAGTTACTCAAAGTCCAATCCTAATAGCAAATGAAAAATTGGTAAATAAAGGTTGGACTTCTATCAAAGCTGACTAAAACACTATGAATATGATTCCCTCTGTTTTCAACGGAGATTGTATCATGTGATTGTTACATCACATAGGGCATGCGATGACTTTTATTTAATGGAAACTAACTGAAAACAATTTTAACGTGCACACACACTGTATCACAAGAGAAAAGGCTGCCCCTCTGAAAGTTTAGGAAAAATCCAAAGAGGTCTCAACTATGATCATTTTCCCTATGTGGTGTCAGAGCTCCAGAGGCTTCCACAAAGTGAGTCAGAGAGCATGGCACAAGAGAGGCCCTTCCTCTTGTGAAGCACTGCCGAGAACGAGAGGGTTTAAACCCAGTCTGCAGATCAGCCAGAGCCTGCGGAGCCCTCACTAACCACACATGGAGGCACCCAGGCAGGATGGGGAGAAACACCCTCTTGCACGCATCTCAAAAGGAAAAGGCTAAAACAATGGTCGTATTTTGAACACCAGATTTGTGTTGCACAATGTATTGAAACTTCCCTCATTAAAAGTGGCCACTCCAAGGGCAGAATTCTTCCCAGAAAAGGGCCCATCTAATGCTTCCACATGACTCGTGCCTCACTTTAACATGCAGATTAACTGATCTGGAGGTGACTGGAGTGAATTTCATCTTAATTAAACTGGCTTACTCAGAGTAATTCTTGAAAAGAAAAGGTTTAGCTTATGCTTTATGTGAGTCAATTTTATGTCATGTCTTCATGGTGAAGATAACTTTTCTTTCACAAATTCACAAGCAGGAGCTCCAAGAAATCCCCTTTTGCCTCAAGATCTATAAAAGCAGATCACAAAACCAATTTGAAGTTACAGTTGTTACCAGCAAGTTGCTCTGAAAAATTCTTTCTTATTAGGTATCTACATTCTCATATATCTGCTTTTTAGTATTTTCAATATTAAAATATTAAATATGAAAATATTTTTAAAATTTGCAACAGTTAATTCAGATGTAAATAATTAGTAAAAGTAAGTATGCAAATATTAATATTAGAAATTAATGGCAGCTTTTTCATATTTTAAAATTATATCCGGGGTTGAGACAGCATCTATAAAGTCTATCTATAGAGCAATGTCCACCCATGGTAATCACACTAATTACACAGAAGGGATTTTTCCCTGAATTCTCCTCATTCAAAGCTTTCAGCTGAACTGCTGTGGAAGTATCAAAATAAAAGCACACAAAGTACATTTAATAACTTTGTGTCCATTGCAGATAAGAAGCATCCCAAAGAAACATTTTTTCTGAAACATGCACAATATTAATTTTGGTATTTAATTTTTATTTATAATCTTCTTCCTCCTTTAGTTTTTTTTTAATTTAGAATATCCTTGAAACAGTTAATTTGACTTGAAATAATCTTCCTCAATTTTGAAGCTTTTGGAAAACTGAAGGAAACCTTAGGTAGACCTGAAGCTATTACAAATTTTCAAAACTGCCTGAAATTTGAAAAAAATAATCCCCAGATGTTTATACAGTTCTGATATGCAGATTATTTAACTATTCTCCTTACAATGCTTTATTTTAAAGAAGGTAACTCAGGATAAGAATAGACCTATATACATAATTTGCTTTAATGCAATGTTAAGGGGACACATATAAATTTTCAAATGACAGAAATCACAGAAATACCATTTTCATAGTTACGCTAACCTTTTCGCCTTTTATATAGATACCTCTTTACACTGCTGTGCCTCCCAGGTATCCTTGCATTGTATTTTCTCATTTCTTAACAAAAAGTAATTAGTGGCGTGTCTGTGTAAAAACCCATGAGAATACCAGACCTTCACTCAGAACAGCTAAATATAACATTTATTGCCCCAAATTCTCTTGTCAGAGAATACAAACTTGGAGAAATTTATGCTGATACACTGGAAGAGGAAATGAGTTTTCCAGTACATATTTTTCCAGCAGGGTGGTGTGCAACTCATTCTTACAGCAGGGATACAACAAGAAATAGTAGGACAGTTTATCCTATGGATATTACCTACACGGGATTTTGTTTTGCAATGTCTGTTTTCAGAGGTTTTAAAGCTGTGATGGCAGCACTGCACTGACTTGTTGAACTGTTGTTTAATGACAACACTATGCTGCTTATTTGTCATTCCACGGAGGTACGTGGGGGGATGTAGATGAACTCTCATCTGGGAAAATTTTTCTAACACGAAACCAGTACATTCTGGAAAGAGAGTGGAGGAATATAGCACCTGAGAGGTAGATAAAAGATAAATGGAAAAGTGAAATATCAGGCAAGAATGTTAGAACCTTGTTGTGGACTTCTTAGAGAACTGAAGAGAAATAGGAAAAATTCTGGTAGATATTAGCATAATGCTCCAAAAGTGCATTCTTCTTAATACATTGTTTGAAAGACAAGTTAAATGTTTATTGAAAATTTATATGTACTGTACCTGAACCTTCAATCCCCCTCCTTCAGAAAAAAACGTACTATTAAAAGCCTATTACCAGTATTAGTTGATAATTCATTGTGAAGAGATTGTTGAGAATCATACTCTTTCTCACTGTAAAGTAATGTGGTTCCCTCGAAATGAAGAACTGACCTGTTTTCCCCAGTACATCACAACATTGCTAAGGACTTTGCTGTAGCTAAACAGACTTAATGAAGTGTGAAACCGGACTTACAGAATCCATAAATAAACAACAAGAATCCAGGGCCTTTGATAAAAAAGTCATTTCTTACATGAACAAAAAGTCTTTGATTTTTTCCTATGATTAATTACAGGGTTCTTAATTAAAAGCACAGCGTTCACTCACTTTGATAAGAACTGGGTCTGATGCTAAAACTTCCACAGGATTTAAGGAATTATTAAGGACAAGATCAAGCTTCATGCTACAGTTTCAAATTATTTCATATTTATCAGCAGGTGGAAAAAGTAAATCTGGCTGTGAAATCAGTAAGATCTTTTTGTTAGGCCTTTTGATTTTTTGCGAGGCAGCATTAAGAAGCAAGGGAATTCCATCACCACAAGTCCTTTGAAATCAAACTCCAAGTAATCATAAGAAATCAAATTTCAAAATCAATTGGTACAGACTTGTAAGTCATATATTGAGTTTGTACTACTTGTTTCCTTAATACTTTGGCTGCGTAGATTAATTTTGGGAGGATCCTTAACCTATAGAGAAATAATACCAAACATGGTTTTATTTCCCTACTTAATATTGCCAAAAGATACACTTGTGAGATCTGAAATCAGGTAGGTGTTTTTCAGAATATTTTTAGAGTTAAAAAAAAAATATCATGCAGTCTTTCTTTGGTAATGTTTACAAGGAACGGAGAATTACATCAAGTAAAATATCAGTAGCAAAGAACATGCTGAAGGTTAACTGCAGCGATTTTGAAATTTCATTTTAGCGTATTTCGATAGCCGCGCATTTTAACTGGTTTGCAAACAAACTACTACTTCAAATACAGATTTGCAGCTAAAAGTGATCCCTAAGCTCAAAAGATCACTTACCTGGGTCCTCTAAAGGCATATCAACAATGACTTGGTCACTGTATTTCCCATATAGACCATTAGAGCAAACAGCAACTATCTGAAGAACATAACTTGTGTTGGGCAGCAGATTATTTAGAATAGCCCCCTAAAAGAAAAAAAACGTTTAATCATTTACTTGCATATAGCTATCAAATATTTGGAAACGTTAATTTTTTTCTAACATCTTTTTCATTTGAACCACGAGGCTCCTTTCTTCTATGACTCTGATGTATGCTTTTTATATCTTATTGTCACAAAAATTTTCCAGCCAACTTTAAAATAAAAATCTTGTGAATTTTTACATGGAAGAATCCAAACTATGTAATTATATAATGCTGAACACTGGTTTGTTTAATTAGCTTAGGTAACATTATCTCTGATATCTTATTAGTCTTTAAAGAGGGTAAAAGGAACAGATACCATTAGTGAAACACCATGAAGCTGTAATCAGTAACTTAATATTTATGGCAGTATGGTTGTACTGAATCTTATAGTTCCTTGTGTAGGTCATGTTTGGCACATCAGTGAGCACTGAAGTACAGATCACTATTAATTGACTGAAGGCTTATTAATTTACTAAGGAGCTCCAAAATTTACGCAGTCATAAACTTCTGGGGATAATATAGGCAAATCAGAACAGCAATCTGTGAAAATGTTCTTTTTTCTGGACAAGAGGAGCTTTTTTTTTCTTAATTGTCTTTGTTACTTCACAGCCAAGACATGAAGTACAACTTCTATGAGCTGCAGCCAAAGAAGTAGCTTTTTATTGAATCAGCTCCCAGCTACTGTTTAATCCCTTAAGATAATTAACAGTGTTTTGCCATCACCCCCTTATATGAAACTTGAAGAGTTCACAGTTACCAAGTCCTGATACCCATCTGTCAGAAACTCATGCTTAGTCTGGTCTTCTCCATCCAACTGTTGATAAAAGACAGCAAATCTCTCAATTGTGGTGTCATATACAACACGAGGTCTTTCCCATGTAACGAGAAGACTAGTGTAATTCTTTGGATCAGATTGAACATTTTCAGGCTCTGAGCTGCAAACTGAAAGAAAGAAAAAACCATTATATTTATTAAATAGTACAAATGACTCTACTAAGATCTTGAGCCGCCTTCTGAGAAAATCAATGCAAGTCTTTCATGTGCTTCATTTTTAGCTTTCCACTAAAATATCTGAGATGCCATGTGCTATAAACAGAGACAGTATTTTAACACCAGATTTTCAAAAGCAAGTTGATTTGAAGACTGAGTCACTTTCCCTCCTTTTTTATGCTGTATGTGGTGAAATATTCATATCTAGCTTCCAAGAAATAAGATATAAACCATAAAGATTTATGTCTTGGAGATGAAAAATCTCTATTTATGGATGTAGCAGAGTAACATTATAAGAGCTGCACACTCTCCTGCCAGCTGTAATAAACTAATAATCTATAATAGATTGTTTTTGAAGGTTAAAGGTAAACTTACCACACTTGAATAGCCACTCAAGGATGTTTAAATCTTTTTATAGTACGTAAAGGAGAGACAAAAGGGAAATAGGGAGAGGCTAAGAAACAATTAGGTTAGCAGGTAGTGATTTCATGTTATTATATTTTAAGGCACCATCTAAACATCTGGGGAAGAAGTCTGATCAGACTGTTGCGGTCCTGGGCTTGGCTCATGCACACCTTTCTGACCCTGGAACCTGTGCTCCAGAAGAAGCCTGGTTGGGCAGCTACTCTTGCATGCCTGCCAGCCTTTCCCATCCAATATTTTTTTCATCTTACTAAGCTGAACATTTTGATACTTTTCTAGACATATAGATGTGCTAGAAATTTACTGAGACTCTGAAATTTGTTTCTAAATTGCCCAAGAACCTGTGTGTAGCTTAAAAATAATATACAAGGTTAAAAGTAGATTAACCTGTATGAAAAAAATTACATTAGCATAAAATGTGAATTATTTAGGTGAAGCTCACTGGAAAAATGACCAGTAAGTTGTGATACACAAAAAAATAAAGCAACATCATACACAATTGCATCATTCATGGCTGTTTTGGGTTTCGGCTGAGACCCCATTCACCTTCCTAGCTCTCATCATACCCTTCCCCTCTGCTGACAGGGAAGCCCTGTCTTCAGACACAGCATTAAAGAATGGAGACGGCTGTCAAAAGTGGTCACTAACTTTTGGTTCCCAACATGAGAGCAGAGCCACTAGATTTGTTCTGATGTCTCAGAATTAGGGCCAGGGATTCCTGACATTTTCTGTTATAAATCCCTCTTCTCATCTCTTTGAAACTGCAGTTTTTGAACTTTGGCTGAAATGCTCAGAATGGCTATCTGCCCCTGCCCTAGCTTTTGGGAAGCTCCTTTAATATACACTAAAAAGGCATATTATTCAGTCTATTGTTTCACTTGTTACTTCATTTCTACTGGTTTATTTAATCTATTAGACTTGTCAAAATCACTGATCAGAGTACGTGAAGCCGACTTTGAATCTTTCAACAATTTAATTAAATCTTACATATAAGAATGTTTAGATGGATATATTTTTATTAAAAAAAATTGTAGCTTGACTTCCGCACAAGTAATTACAAACTCGCTCCCTATTTGAAATAAATGAAGAAACATATTTTTCAAATCTCAGAATCTGTTTAAAATAGATTTGAGAATCTAGAAGAAGCAAGTAAAACGAAGAAGCTAGCTAATTAAGAAAATAAGCGTAGATTCTTTGGAGTTCTCTTAAAGGAAGCAAAGACCATGATACTTCAACTCTTTGGGCAGACAATACTGCATTTTGACAGGAAAAAATCTTTCCGTTAACATTGCAATTTGCCACTTGAACACAGGAGGGCAGTCAAACTCCTCAAAAAATATTTTGAAAAACTCGATTTCTTGTGTACGCAGATGGGCTGTTTTGAGCAGCTCTGGTCTGAGCTAGTCAATGGAAAATAAGCAGCGATTTTTTTCCCTTTGTTTTGTGTGTGTGTCTGTGAGCTAATGGCAGAAGCTGTATTACTCTGTGTAACTTTGAATCTACTGTGCTGTGTATCGGACATACCATGTTATTCAAAGAATAACAGAATAGTTTGGGTTGGAAAGGACCTTAAAGATCTAGCTGAAAGGTTGAGAGACGAGTGGGGGGGGGGGGGGGGGGGGGGAGTGGTGGTGTTACACTGACTTCTTTTAATTGATGTAAAGGAAGAGCAAATTTAAAACAAACAAACAAACAAAAACCTCAAGTTGTGTACATTCCATTCCATTACTAAAACTTGTCATTCCACCCCATTTCCACCAGATGGCAAATGGAAATCATTAGACAGCAGCAACGGTTCCCTTCTCAGTTCTGTGCATTAAGGCAGACGACTGAAACGCTGATTTAATTTTTTTAAAGGAATCAAAAAACTCTTCCACTATTTCTTTTAGAAGTTTTTTCACAGTGCATGTACTAAGGCTTCTCCCTGTTCTTCTCCATCATCTAATATCCAATATAAATACTCTTCTCTACTGTCCTTTTTACTCCCTTCCTCTTTTTTGTCTGTAAGTGAATTTGGTTCTGAAATGTCTGACTATATTCAGACTAACTGAGCAGTATTATAAAATTCTAAAGGTACAAGGGTGGAGTCTCCAATATTATTTCTCTCAGTTTCACTGTTTTCCTTTCTGGATGGTTCTTGCAGCAATTATTTTTCCAAGAAAAAAGTTATCTTCCCTTTTTTTCTCATCCTTTTGGTGCTTGGTTCTGTTCAGCTCAGCAGTGACCAACAATATTCCTACATGACAGTCATCTGCATATTATTTCACCTTGATTCCTTCCCCGGCTGTTATCGATTGCCCTTTTCCTCATGCCACTTCAACAGTCATCCTGCCTGTGCTGTTTCCTTCACTTTCCTTCCAGTCTTAGTAACACAGAAGTGCTTTGCTCTTGCCTTTTCCCATTTTCCCTCTCCAGAAACTGGGAGGAGCAAGGAGATCAGACAACAACTGACGTAATTAAAGCCTTCTGCTCTGATAGTAACTTGTAGAAAATCTGGGCCAAGAGGCTGCAAGAAAGTCTGTTGCTGGTCTGAAGTCACAGATAATCTGAAGTCTCAAGCAGCAAAATACTATTCACAGGGAGTCAGAGACCTATTAAAAACCCTGATGTGCTTGAATTCAGGTCTTTGCTTTCCCCAGGTGAGTACTTAGATGCTGGTTTTGCATATCAGACCATGATAATGCACCTATCTTTGCTTATGGTTCTGGGGAATAAAATGCCACCTATATTAATCAGAACTTTTAAATCTAAACTGAATTGCATCATCAGGAAGCACCAGAGTACATTAGCAAAATCATTGTCAAAAACTGCCTGGGCTCCGTTTTTGACAAAAATACTTTTATAAGCACCTAATTTTGTATTATTCAGATATATAATAAAAAAAACCAACTTGGATTTAAGCTTCTCTGAGCTTGACTGAGTTGGAATAAAACTAGATGTAGTTCTGAGGCAGCACTGGATAACTCGGAAGATTTTTTTCCACATTTGTTGCTTTCTTCTACTTTTCGTTGAATCTGGGTTTGAGATTTTTATCTTTTAAATCCACGTTTTTCAACTGTGGAAAACTCTGAAGAAATTTCATTTACATTAAGAAATTCAAGGGCCTTTCTGCTCCCTGTCACAGTGTGTGGCAAAGATTAGTTCTTCAATATTCTCAGTCATAAATGGGGGTGGGTGGGTTCATCTTGCTGGCCACGAGATGCCCACCCAGCTGCTCTCTCTTACTCCTCCTCAGCAGGACAGGGGAAGAAAATAAGATGAAAAAGCTCACTGGTCAAGACAAAGACAGGTCACTAATCCCTGTCACGGGAAAACAAAACTCACCTTGGGAAAATTAATTTATCATCAATTAAAATACTGTAGGATAGTGAGAAACAAAACAAAACTAATAACACCTTCTCCTCACCCTTTCCTTTTTCCCAGGCTCAACTTCACTTCTGACTCTTGCACATCCCCAGCCCGAGTGATGCAGGGGGATTGGGAATAGGGGTTTTGGTCAGTTCATCATGTTTTGTCCCTGAGGTTCTTTCCTTCTCATGCTGTTCTCCTGCACCAGTGCAGAGTCCCCCACACAGGATACAGTCCTTCATGAACTTCTCTGTCTGGATCTTTCCATGTGGTACAGTCACTCAGGAAAAGACAGCTACAGTGTGGGTCCCCCATGGGATCACTGAGACTGCCACAAAACCAGCTCTTGCACAGGCTGTAGCTTCTGCCAGGAGCCTGCTCCTGTGTGGGGTCTCCATGGGCTGCAGCGGGACAACCTGCTTCTCCATGGTCTTCTCCATGGGCTGATAGGGAATCTGCCAGTGCCTGGAGCACCTCCTCCCCTTCTTTTTCTGACCTCAGTGTCAAAGTGCTCTTTCTCACACTATTTTCATGACTCCTCACTGCATTTTGCCCTTTCCTAACTTTGTTTTCCCCAAGGCGCCGCCACCTTGGCCAAGGGGCTGGCCTGTGCCCTGGGGTAGGTCTGTTGGAGCTGGCTGGAACTGGCTGTGTCTGGCACACGGCATCCCAGACCTGGGCACCTACAGCCGGCACATCATATTAGTATCCTGCACAAGACGAAATGTCTTGAGAGAATCTGAGAATGGTTATAGCTAATTTATGTCATTTGTAGTATGTGAAATGGTAAGGATGTGAGTTGTTACCCTGGTCTTGCAAGAGAATTTAACTAAAATAGCTGCTGAACTTTACACAGTTGTATTTTGCGTAGGGAAATAGGTTGAGAAATACTTTTTTACCAAGATATAAAAAAATTGTCTGGGTGGCCGGGCCCAAAGAGTTGTGATGAATGGAGTTAAATCCAGCTGGCACCCAGTCACAAGTGGTGTTGCCCAGGGCTCAGTGCTGGGGCCAGTTCTGTTTAATTTCTTTATCAGTGACCTAGACGAGGGGATTGAGTGCACCCTCAGAAAGTTTGCAGACAAAACAAAGTTTGGTGAGAGTGTTGATCTGCTCAAGGGCAGGAAGGCTCTTAGAGGGACCTGGCTAGGCTAGATCAATGAGCTGAAGTCAATTGTATGAGGTTTAACAAGGTCAAGTGCTGAGTCCTGCACTTGGGTCACAACTGCCTGATGCAATGCTACAGGCTTGGGGACGAGTAGCTGGAAAGCTGCCTAGCAGAAAAGGACCCAGCGGCCTGAATATGAGCCAGCAGTGTGCCCAGGTGGCCAGGATATCCTGGGCTGTATCAGGAACAGTGTGGTGTCAGCAGGAGCAGGGCAGTGAGTGTCCTCCTGTACTCAGCATTGCTGAGGCCACACTTTGAATACTGTGTTCAGTTTTGGGCCCCTCACTACAAAAAAGACATTGAGGTGCAGAAGTGCATCCAGAGAAGGGAGATAAAGCTGGTGAAGGGTCAGGAGAACAAGTCTTATGAGGAACATCTGAGGGTGCTGGGCTTGTTTAGTCTGAGGAAAAGGAGGCTGAGGGGAGACCTGATCTCTCTCTACAGCTACCTGAAAGGAGGTTGTAGCAAGGAGGGGGTTGGTCTTTTCTCCCAAGTAATAAGTGATAGAACAAGAGGAAATGGGCTTATAAGTTGCACCAGGGAAGGTTTTTCATGGAAAGGGTTGCCAAACATTGGAACAGGCTGCTCAGGCAAGTGGTTGAGTCACCATCCCTGGAGGTATTTAAAAGGTGTGGCACCTAGGGACATGGCTTAGTGGTGGACTTGGCAGTGTTAGGTTTATAGTTGGACTAAATGATCTTACACGTCTTTTCCAACTTAAATCATGATACGATTCTGTGATTCTATATTGTCAGTCTTCAATTACAAGAACCCGTTGTTTTTTATGCATTTTCTAAATCCGAGAATGACGTTTCTGCACAGGGCATTACTAGAAGAGTGGAGCGGATGGGAAGTTATGTAATGGGCCAGCAGCTACCACGATGGTTCTCAGGTTTATAGAAATAAACAATGATTTCTATTATAAATGGATTTTCATGCCAGCTGAGGGTGGTAGAGATAAAGCATTATAATTTCAAAAAGCTTTTTAAGTTGAATCCTCAAGTATGGCTGTAAGGATTAGCTATTTTAATCTTCTTAAATATATGCATACTTATATGCATACATACATATCAGATGGGAAAATTACATATATCACTAAGCAGGCTTGGGGAACAAAGTATCTCCCATGTCCTCAGTGGGGCACTGCTTATACACCAAGAATGTTGAGACTGTCACTGAGTGAAAATTTCTGACAATATATTGCTGAAATTAGCTTATAATTGAATAGAAAGATTCTTTTAGCCCTTCTAAGGAAACTTGGCTCTACTAAAGAAATTCCATGTATTAATAACATCAATGAATCAAGCACTAATGAGAGTCTACACTGAATCCAAGAGGAGAAAATTGGGATTCTAGGTTTCAAAACACAAAATAATTTTTCAGTTATCTACTTGAGTAAGACCCACTCTAGTAATTTCTCTTGTATCATCTAAAAGGGATTTCAGACATTTTTTCTCTGTTGACTACAAGAACTTTGCAATAATAAATACGATATACATGAGCCTATTTACTCTTGAGAACTCAGGCACTCATGTTACGGTTTTAATATCTCAACATATAAGTTTAGTGATTCCTAGGGATTTTTATTTACCTTCTCTTAAAATGGAGGTGAAAATAGAAATGCTTCTCTAATGTTGTAAATGAAACAAATCCCATAACTGCATTTGTGTGCATATATATACATGTGTGTACACAAATATGTATATGTATGTGTACATAATGCTGTTGCATTTACATAGTGCACACAAACATTTACAGAAATGTAAAATATATATACAGAAGACCTGAAACTTTAGTGATCCCTCTCCTTGTTCATTGCCAAGTAAAAATTTTAACCTACAATTTGTTTCTTTAAATAACTAGTTTAGAATAAATATTACATGTGTTCACTGCCTCAGCAACGTGAGCGCAGGACACTTTTGCTAAAACTTGGTACGTTGAAACCCATTTGTCCGGTATTATTACAAATTTGTCCTGTCTTGCACACAGACCTATTTTGGATGCTCTGTACAACATACTTTATGATTACACAAAGCTGAAGGGCCTTCTAATTTTAAATAGCATAACTCAAGGCATAAAAGGATCCTAATATCTTTAGGCTGGACACACCTTATGTGTATGGATTGAATCTCTCTTTGATACAGTGCAGAAATGGGACTGGCTGAAAGCAACCTCCTACGCAGTTTGAACACACACTGCTCTGGGCAGCACGTGGAAAGCTCCTTCAGGTGTCAGCACACAGAGTGGACGGAAGGAAGCAGGGGCCTGTCTTAAACCGTATTAACCAGCTTTTCTTATGTCTCTTCAGAAATCTAGATTAGGATGGCACAGCTGAAAGTAGTTTCCTTCTATTGCAGAGACTGAGCTGGGGGGTCAAGGCCAAGGTCATGGCTGTAGTGCAATCACCTGGGCAGCAAGTGGACTGGAGGTGGCAGTAGTCCCTATCTCCGTCTTCAAAGGTCCTTTGCCTATGACATTTCTTCACTGTAGACTGATGCCTATTTATAAAGGACTGAGAAGTTTAATTTGCTTCTGACAACATGGACATAAGAAAGACTGTCTATATTACAGTGACCTGTCTCTCAGAGACCTTCATTAAACAGACTTATTTGGGGAAGGATGATCTTTCTTTAATTTAGGCCAAATTAACAATGCCCATTGTAAATCTATTTGGAAATAGAAATTAATTTAATGGTGATAACTCTCACTTGATTGCTGTGGTTCAATTCCATACTCCTTCCCCAAGCTTCAAAATTTCAAATGCTACTTAGTACCTACACAGAAAAAAAAAAAATAACAAAACCTGCCAGAATAGATATTTCTTGTCTTAGACCAATGCAAAAAAAAAAAAAAAAAATCATATCCTGGGCACACATCATGACAAGAGCTGAGGTCAGAATAGAAGAGTCACTGGCTGGTTATAGCAATGACACAGTAAAGCTGTCCTGTGCAGCACTGTGGTGAAACAGTGTGATGTACTTGTGCAGGGAACCCAGTGCTCCGACAGTTCTGAATGATTAACATCTCCTGGCTTGTATCTAAGTTTCATACACAGGATCCTTCCAATAGGAAAAAAAAAAATATCCACCCAATCAAGGCAAATTAAAATGAAAACACACTTATTTCTATTCTGGAGAATACCTACACCACATACTTCAGTCATCTCTCTGTGACTAATTAAGCACAGTTCAGTGCAACTGAGTTTAAGAATCTACAGGTATCCCCAGCCAAGTAGCAACACAATGCCCCAAATTTAGATATTTACTATTTATTCTTCTGTGCTTATGAGTATATAAATCATTGACTTCCACATTTAGTGCTAAATCTTGTTTCCCATTGCATAATCTACTGTTTTGGTCATATAACCTTCACAAACTTCCCTGAGGTTTTAGGTGAAACAGAGAACAGAGTCTGGCTTCTGGGAGTCTCCCCATCTATCACTTTCTCAGCAGACTATGTGAAACGAATTTGGTGACCTCACTTCAGCCTCTGTTGGAAAAGCATCCACATCACACAACAAAGAACCAAATGGGTTTGTAAAACAAAATCCTCTTGCAGCCCCTGAAAAGGCAGCTTTGTTTAAGTCTGAAACGCATTAAAAGGGCAGTGCAAGAAAGCTTGAACTGAGTGATCTTCACTGAACGTTTGGTCAAGACAAGCATTTAATTTTCCACTCCATTTAATCTGACATGTTTTATGATTGCTATTTTTTTTCTCTGAAGTGAGAGATTTATGAGTAATAGTACAGTGTGCTACTTTCTACACAATTTTAAATTAGTATCTTCATACTAGGATGAATCTTTTACTGAAAATTGTCTTTCCAACTGTGAAGTGAGGAATGTCTATTCAGTAAATACCTGCTTCATGAATTTCTTCTTGTCCAGTGTAAGAGGAAAACACTTGCCCAAAGAACTTATATTGCTGTTCTCGAAAGTTGTTTTGCAGGTAGTCCATCAGCATAACATATCCAGACTGCTGCATTGTAAGGACTTCACAGAATACAGCTAGCTAGAGGAGGTGAGAAAAAAAAGAAGTCAGAAATCATAAACGAACTAACCGGATTCTGCTAACAGGCAGAAATCCTGGGGAAAAGGTGTTGGGTAAGCCTCCCTGTTGAATTCCCCGGGGTGGCAGTGAACATTTGTTCCTCTGTGCCAGCAGTATAACTAACAGTTTACTCCACCTGCATGTCTCAACCACTCAGATGTTGGAGCTATGCTCTGACCAGCCAGCACCATTTAGCTGGGGGAATATGGAATAAGTGGTTTGCACTCCTCTTTATCTGGGCTAGAAGCCTCGACAGCCTGCAGAGTTAGGCAGTGTGTTCTTACTCCCTTCTAAGGCAAGAAATGACTCAGAGTCTACTTCTGAACTAACAAAGAGAAAAGATAAGACACTCAAGTAATACATGTTTTTTCTAATGTAATGGCTGAGTGAAAAATTTAAAACTAGCTAAAAGAAAAGCCAGGTTGTTAGTCTGGCAATGAAAGCCATGAGCTTTTACCACCTACATGGCAAATGCTTTTCTTTGGTATTACATACAATTGTTTTAATACATTAAATAAATTACCTGGTCTTCAGAAATACTAATGGTATCTTTAAACACAATCCATTCAACCGTTTCAGAGCAGGGAGGAGTTGATAAAGACCCATTATAAGTGTAGTATTTGTCTGTTGCATTCGGCAAAAGGTTCAGAAAAATAAATGGTTCTAAGGCAGCCTGTTTTCCTGAAAAATAAAAAAGTTAGAGTCAGATAGCTAAAATATTGCAGAAACAATGAATAAATAGAAATCACACTCACCAAAAGAGTTACCATGCTAAATTTGAGGCTACACAAAGTTTGACCTCCAGACAGACTAGCATACAAATAAATTGCTGAACCTTTTCTATTTAGTCTGAATAAGTATTGTTCAAAACAACTTACTTTACTTGGGAAGGTGTAATGAATTACTCCAGTAGTAAGGAAAGCAATCAGCACATTGTTTGACAAGAATTTGTTCACCTGTAAATGTCCAAGATGCCAAACCTTTGTCTTACTCCAGAACTTCAAAGAAAAAATATGTGAAATCTCTGTTCTTGGTGTTATGACATGGCTTCAAAGTCTCCCTGAATTTGGTCAAGTTTTTGAGTTTCTGGCAGGATCTTAATCTCTACAGAAAATCACTGCCTGGGGAACTGCTGCAATGTTAAAACTGAGAGTTATATTACTCATGATGGCAGAGAAGAATTTCTGTGGAATGGGGATTTTTAAAATGGTGATAATACAGTGAAAAACATCTTTATACAAAGCAGAGAAGGATGCAAAGGCCTCTACCAGGAGAGGATGAACATTCTGTTTATTGTCCTGTGAAAATAGTATCACGTCTTCCATGTCAGCACTTCACCTGGTACCTTGTCCTCCAGGAGCATGCATAAGGAATTGCTGGGAGTCCGTCCACAGAAAGCTAAGTTCATGTTGGTATGACAGTAGGGTCCAGCAACAAAAATTGGCAGAAATGGTACCAACTTCCTCAAGGCAGATTTGTTTCAGTCAGTGCCAACTATCAATCTTGTGACAATTATGTGCCTTATTGTCTGGTGCATCCAAAATAATATATATTTTTTTACAACTAGGAATAATGTAGATCCTTATATACCTGAATTCAATCTAAAGTTACCAATTCACCAGTATTACCAGTATTAACTTGTGAATATCTAGTGAATTTTTAGACTGTGCATTAACTTGTGGTTTTACAGATAGGTTACTTTATAAGACCTGTACAGATTTCTGACAGGTCTTAGCCTTCATAACTCCTTACAAATTTGGTGAGAGCAGCAAATGATACTAACATTTTACTACAAATCATTGATGCTTTTCTTCTGTACAATGACTGTTCCGCTGAGTTAAAGTTTAAGAGCTGGCTGCTCCCCTCTCTCTTATCGACGTGCCATGAAAGGGGAACTTTTAGCAGCGTTGTGCAAAGCCCATCCTTCTATTTCTCCTGTCAACATGTTAATAAACCTTCAGATAGAAGCTATCATTGCTATCTGGTCCTCGTCTACTTAACACATTTTTCCTTCAGTAAAAATATACAGCTAGTCCAGTTTATATAGATACCTGGGGACATCAAATATCTCATTTATAGTAAAAATCCTGCTATGCATTTTGCAACTTTGGATTTTAAAATACCCTTTAATGTGATTGACAGCCTAGATTCTAAAATCAAACACCTACAAAGAATATGAGAAAGAGAGAGCTTGTTCAGAAGGAACAGGACTGCTCCTCTGCAGAGCCTGAGAACCCAGCAACTGGGATTCAAATAAGCACAATACAGATATGACTGACAAGGACAGATTACGTACATCGCAGACAAGGACAGATCGTGTGCTATT